GTCAATATATTGCCCTAACAGGTTCTAGTCAATATATTGTCCTAACAGGTTCTAGTCAATATTTTGTCCAACCAGGTTCTAGTCAATATATTGTCCTAACAGGTTCTAGTCAATATTTTGCCAATTAGCCTGTTCCGCGTTAATGGCCAATTATGTTAACATGTCGACCATACATTTCCCAGACCCCCCCCCCCTCTTCACTCCTTAACATAATCCTACAGTACATTACATTCTGTAGTTACAGCCTGTGTCACGCCAACTTCCCGCTAAGATGGCGTGTTGTGAGTTGTCCGAATCAAACATTTATAACTATCGACCTTTTTACTTGGACCTGTCTACCCAGTTGCTGTTCCTACTTTAGGGTAACTTTTGGAAATCTTCCCCGTAATCCAACGAAAAGTGGGGCGGGCTATTTATTTAGTCAAATGGGTGATTAAACGCGGCGTCAATAATTGACACGTGATCAATTTGACGAACGCGGTCGTCTATTTTTAGCCCGATTTGACGCTGTACGGGTTCTTGCGCCGGGTCGTGGAGCGAATTGCGTCACGTGACAGGATACCGTTGTTTCCGCCATCTGTTCAGCCAATGATAAGACTTCAAACGTAGAGTATTCTCATGCAGTTTTGTTTGCAATATTTTTTTTCTGTCACATACAAAATGCAAACGCAGCGTCTCGCTCGCTGTTTGGTTCACACATTGGGGGGGGGGGGGGGGGGGGGGGGGGGGGGGGGGTTTGAAGATGACGTTTCTCCATTCTAGCTGAATTTACCTCGTTCAACTCAATCGTCTTCGCACACCACAAAATGAAATCACTCTTCCACACCAAACACCTTAAAAGGAGCGTCATAATAATAGCAAGACATCGTTTTAACCTCCCCCCCCCAGGGTGTTGTTACTTAGTAGCATCTCTTCGGATTACCTCTACCCCCCCTCTCCCTCTCGAGCACAGCTACCGTCCACATGCACCCCCCCTCTCCTCTCTCTCTGAATGAAATTGAAAGAAATTTAATTTATATAGAAAATATATACCCCCCCCACCGACCAAAGTATGAAAGAACCCTGCCCTTGTCATAGCATATAGTCATAATAGTCACACCCTCTTCCCCCCCCCCCCCCACACACACCCGTCTTTGTTGGATGGCCAATACTTAGCAGATGGCATCAACAAATTTTTCTTGTTATATGAAATCAATGAGATGTTCCCACGTTTTCTCTAACTTGCTTTCGCGTCTGTTTGTCTTTCCATCAAATCTTGCGATCGAAATTTCGGGCACTTCCCAGTTAGCTAGCGCGCTGAAATTTTCAGCGAAGCTTTGTTTCCGATGACAATACAATATTCAATTATTATTATTACTAAATTGATCCACGGAAAAATTTTATTGATCATTTTAAACTCGTATTGATTTGTACAAAAAAGGGACATAACCTAGTAATTGTAATTTGATATAAAACAAGTTTCGGTACTTTCCCTCTTCTACTTTTTAGTTCAATCAGAAAACGTGGGTTGTTTTTTTTAAATTAATGATAATTATTTTATTTTAAATGTTAAAAACAATATATTATGGACTGTGCAACAAATACCCCCTCATACATAAACATTTCCTGTATAAAAATTTTGGGGTACTGCTTGATAAATTTTATATAATCTGTAACAATGAACAATGGGAGATGGTAAGGCAAATTGTCATACGATGTATAATAGTAATTACTTAAGGTAGTTATGACAGTTCCCTAACTAGTTCCTGTAACGATGTAACTTAATTTAAAATATAGGCCTACTTGTTAAAATGTATAATTTCTAGGTTTTTATATTTTATTGGTGGCTTTTTTATTTTTTTGAAAGGTGAAAGGACTGAATATTAATACATTTTTTTTTAACTTTTAAAATCCTGTTTAGAAGTATTAGTTTTGGCACTTTATTTTTTGCTAAATTTATTTAAATTACAACTCTCTCACACCACCCCTACTCTTCATAACACCCTATAACCAAGCCATTTCGAGTCATCAATTCATTTTCTACATTATCAGCAGAGTGACCTCCCCTTTCATAAAACCAACAGGAGGTTAGTCAATGAAGCCTTTGAAGAAAGATGCCCATCTCAACAAAACACGGAACCACACAGTGGGTTAAATACAAGTGATTCATTCAATAATATGACAATAAGCAAAACCAGCCATTTAAAAACAAACAGTAAAGTCAATAACACTGAGGCGTTGGCTGCTAGAAAGTCTGATGGGGACACGACTGCTTTAACCCAGGGTAAAGACTGTGAACCGTACCAAACGTGTTTCAGTGAACTGATACTGGACATGAATAGCATGATGAAGAGAAGCACAGTGAAACCACCATTTGGTGTTGGCCAGCAGCTGGCAATGCCCCCTCACACAGGGTTAACGGCCAAAAACAGAGGGAAGAGAAAGTTCTTAGGTACATTGTGTAGACAGTTGAAGAGTGCACCCTGGGAAGAGGCCAGGACAAAACCTGATGAACCTACATCGGGTGTGGATTTAATTAAAATCCAAGGCAGCTTCGGAAATGACGGCGGCATGTCAGACATGTCGCCATTAACTCCAGTGCCTTATTTTAAGTTTTGGAACTCGTCGCTTCCACCTAAATCAAGTGGAGGGCTAAAGCGAAGTTCCAGTGAGATAGCTCTGCAACATCTGGCAGAGATTGTGCTGGCAGGAGAACAGGACTCTCAGGACAGAGGCTTGGCGGAGGCGACGAATAAAATTCTTCAACAGAGAAGAAGCTTAAAAGACAATGATGCGCCAGCTTCAGGGGTAGGGACACAACTAGCAGGATGTTTATCTGTGCACAACTGTTTATAGATTTGTCCTGGAATGTAACAGTACTTATTTAGGATTTAAATTTTGCAGATTTGCTTTGTCTTCCAATATACACTTGCTTCCAAATTTGTGATTTAATATAACTTGCACAATCTTCCAAAGTTGTTGTGGAATGCAGCTAACCACTTGTTTGGAAATTGAGCTATGAATTATAGTTTTATCTAATCAAGAGCACATATTTTCAGATTTATAGAGAATAATATCTTGCACTCTTTTTTCCAGTGCTGTAGCAGAATGTAGCTAACTACACATTAGGGAAATGAATTATGAAGAGTGATTTAGTTTAATAAAGTACACCTGCTTCTACAGTGTGTAGTAAAACTAAAACTCTCATTACATATTAATGCACAAAATTTGATTGGTTTGATGCTTAACACTTATGAATAGCTTGTATACACATGGTGTTTGATAGGAAAAGATAGAAAATCTCAATACAACTTTGACCTTGTTCAAAACATGACTGGAATTAAGTTTTAAGAAGTTGTATCCATTTTATATTGTCTTAAAATTTAAAAAATTACAAAATGTCATAAAACCTAATTTCCTCTTAATCTGTTCTGCTGGGATAACTTCCCATTGATAAATAATAGCATGTACTTGTTTGAAGTTATTAGATAATTTATAAATGTGTTCAATTTAACTTTATTTCTTTTTTATAAAACCTTAAAGACAGCCAGCGCTAAAGCTTAGTTATTATAGTCAACAAGATAACTAATTACCCTTTTAAAAACTATGTGGATTTTAACATTTGTGTGATACAGTTTTAACAATATATGACAAACTTGTAGTGTAAAATTAAATGCTATAACACTTTTTGATTGGATAAGCACCTGAAATAGTTATTCGACTGCTAGACTGCACTGTAACCAAAAGATATGTATCTCTAACATCTACTATTACATCTGTGTTTATAAAATAACTTTTTTACAGTTTAGTATGTATAATGTATTTACCATTTATAAGTTATTTATTAACATAAAAGTATATATAAAACTGTATAAAACTTATTTTAAAATGGAAGAAGCATTTCAGAACTCCATATTTTTTTATGTAAATGGTATTTTAGAAAATGAGTAGAAAAAATATTCTATTTACGTGTTGTTATCTCCAAATTCACATCATATTTCAGCTATTGCGGTCCCTAGTCATAGAGTCAATCAGACGGGCAAAATCTGGTTTGTTCTTAATCTCCACCATTTCATCTTCAGATTTTATACATCTCATAGCAACAATAATAATAGAAACTCCAGCTAACCATATCTTACTTCTGCAGTTTATAATAAAATTATTTAAAATCTTTTTTTCATAGGCTTAGACTTTAATAAATTACTTTTAATGTTATTTCTTAGTTATTTTTGTTTTTAACTGTCTTTGTGACTCTTAAGTAACAAAATAAATTTGGTTTCTTAACATTCAAGTCTGTATTTTATTTTTTTTATGTTTTTGATAAAATTAATTTTTTTTGGCTAACAAAAACTATTAATAATAAATTCTTAGTATGCAGGAAATCTGTTTAAATTTTTTTATTCAGTTTTAAAACATGTTGTCTAAAACATTTTGTTTGTTGATACTTTAAACAAACAAAAATAAACACTTGAAAATTTATTTTTAACCGTGTTTGATACTTTAAATTTTAAAAAAATCAATTGAAGTTTTCTGATATAGTTCTTAGTAACTAATAGCAGTATCTGAGGTATATCAATAAATTGCTAGTTTTAACCAAGGTAGAATAATATTATCTATCAGTATGAAACATTGCTACATTTCTAAACCATTTTGGAGTCAACAAAAGTAGGATAAAATATATTTTATGCCATTTTCTTAAATAATTGGCACACAAGTGATAGTTAGAAAAAATGTAACAAGCATCTTATTCAAAACTCAAGTCACAAGGAATATTATAGATCCAATTCTAAAGTCAAATTATTTCCAAGCAAATTTTATTCTGGTTTAGATCTAAAAAGGATTTTAAAAATTTGTTTTCATTCTTTTAAATATATTTATTTCTGTTGACCCCTCCCCATATTTTTTTTATACCAGATATGGTTTGACCCAAATGGGAGAGCTTTTGTGAGCCTGGCAACCCGTTATGAAGCATCACAAAAGTAGTGGTATTCCCTAGAGGTAGATGACATCCACCTAAGATATAAAAAAAACTCCTGCATATGGTTGTTTTGCTTGTTTTTCAAAAATTTACCAGCCAGATTTTTCTATTGCCTGATAGAATTTTTTTTTTCTCTTTTATTTTTTGTGTAGCTTTTAGTTTGGTTGTTGACCTGACAAACATTAACAAAATCAAATTTAACAAGGCTCTTACCACCTACTCTAATGTCTACTGTGTGGGGTGAAGTATTGTTCTGTGCCGTTGATTTTGAAACAATAATAGCAAACATTTTCTTAAATAAATAACCAGCATATAACAATAATTGTACAAGACATCTTACTGTTTCATGCATGGTGTTAAGAAAATTATAATGCAAGTTATACTATATACTTTTTTAAATAAAGTATTTTAAAAATTCAATTATTTTTTGTTTCCCTCCAATTTTTAGAATTGATCAAGGTAGAACTTATTCTATTCTCATAATTCAATTGAATTGGCATGAATGCATGAAGTTTTTATTACAGCTGTCTTTAAACATTCTTGTACCTTTATTTAAAACTATCATTTTTCTCCAAGCTCAGCTTAATGTTTTAAAAATTAGGTATTGGTGAAAATTATTTGATCACAGTCTTTATTATTTTTAAAAATTATTTTTTTAAAAATCAAATCTAAAAGATACGAAGATTTTGTTTTTTGTTTATTGCATGTTAATAAAACAAAAATAAAACAATGCATGCTTAAAAAACCAATTATCGACTGACACTCATGAGGTGTTGGCTATACTTATCTAACATCTCTGGAACTTTTTCTACAGAATCTATTTTGAGGATAATCTAATTCTTTTATCTCTTATTTTCATCGTTATGAAAATGTTTCATATCTATGAAGGTATTGTTTTGCTAGCTCTAGACTTTTTTGTGTTGTGGTGACTTATACATATCCTTGTAACCATTCTCTTGGCATAATCATTCGATTTTCCTGGATTTAACTATTGTTTTTTTTCTGTTAATATAATCCTCCCATGATTTTCTTGGCACAACTATCCCAAAATTTTCTTACTAAGACAATCCCATGAATCTCTTGTAAAATCATCCTATAACTGTTGGCAAGTAAAAAAGAATCTCAGAATTAACTATGCCCTAGTGATTTTACTGCCAAAATTGTTTTAATTAATTTATTTTTTCACCTTTTTCTGTGATGAAATACTAAAATATAATCTGTAGATTTTAAAATTACTTTAAGAATTCTCCTAACATCCTACTAACTGCCTATACCTTTTATGCTTTTAGTTACCTTTATAAATACTGTCTACTGCTAGAGCCAGTAAAACTTCTATTTTAATATTTATATATATTTACAACTATGTGTTTAAAATATTGAAATGTATTTATATAGAATACAAAATTTTTATTTTACTATTTAGATGGAAATATATTTCATAAATGATGGCATATGAATAAAGGCTTAATTATCTTTTTAAAATTTTACTTATTTCATTTTTAATTGCTTAAATTGTGATTTATATTAAATTACTGATATGATAGCCGGAAAAAATTCATTTATTTCCCATGTCAGCAGAATTATTTCCCCTTAATTCTTTTGAAGTTTATACCCTTATCAAACTTTTTTTGTATCCAACAGATATCTGGTCTGGGGGAGACAAACAAAAACAAGGAAATCAGCCAGAGTCATCTCCCCAGCAGGCAAACCAGCAGAATTCTACCCCAACCCCACCTGACCATTATCTGCAAGGACAGAGGGTTAGAGGAAGAAAGCCAAACAGGTTCACCAAATATGGCAGCCAGTCCCTTGAGTCCTACCTGCCACAGCTTGAGAGCCACCAGGACCAGCACTGGTAGAATTACTGGCATCAGCCATGTCTACAAGGGCACAAGCTACTCCACTGCTCTAAGACATTTGAACGAAACCGCTGGCCCAGACCAGGGGACATTATCTATAGAGGGAGGCAACTGCCTGTTTAGTAAAGGCTTCATGGGAGGGAAGTGTCGTATCAGAGGACAGGAAGATCCGGTACTGCTCTCACATCAGAGACGGGTGCAACATCTCATAGAGCAATCAAGGCTCCGAAGTCGATTTGGGCAAATGATTTCTAAAACAGACAGTATCTGCCCAAAATCGTATTTGGAAATTGCTAGCTTGCGAATAAATAACATTCCCTGGAGTGAGGAAGAATCTAAAGGTATTCTTAAAAATGAACTAGCTGATGCAAATGGGCTTAGTTATGTAGATAATAATGTAAAAAGTGGTGTAAAAGAAACTCAAAATAATAAAAGCAGTTTTGAATGTGTTTCTAAGATAAATCATCCATTTGCAAAGGGTTTCAATATTATAGACAATTATCAGCAAGGTAAAGATAATGAAGCAGATGGAGTTTCATGTGCTGTTAGGTATACAGCTCCTAAATTGGTAGACACAGATATTTTTCCAAGTCATATTAGGATAGATTACAGCTATAAAGCCCTGCCAATTTTGTATGGGGAAGCCATACTCAGCAAACCTGTGGAGTCTCTACCCCCTTCAGACAAACTGGCCTCAACTAGACAAAAGCCTTTCTCTGGCAGCTTTATGGCTGATGTGCCTACCAAAGTGAACATTGGGGTGCCTCGGTTAAAATACTCTGCTGCTTCACCTGTGGCGCCCTCACAGTCCCTCATTTAATGGAGATAAACAAACTGGCAGCTGTTTGCAATGTTTCACTGATGTAAAAAAGCTGTATAAATTATTCATCTACCTCATGCAAGTTTTTCTCATATTTTGTTAACTTAATCTGTTTTTGTAGTGCAATAGCATTGTTAAATGATGAGTAGAAAACTAACACATACAATTTTAAAAATGGTTGATCAACTTGTGACATACATATCCACCTATACAACAGATGATAATAAACTGTACCTGAATATATTCCACACCAGATTTTCCCAGACAAGAAAACTTTTTTATCTGCTCTGAAATTTATTTTGTAATTTAATTAACCTTTTAACAAATATTTAAGACAAACATAAAATACAACATTGACAAAATTCAGATTTTAGTAATAAGACACACATTTTTTTGTTGCATTAAAATCAACATTTAATCAATATCTATAATCATTCAATCATACAGAACCAACAAATCATGAAATAATGATCAAGTCAATACTAGCACAAAAAAGAACACTCTCCAGTCAAAAAATGTACATTCATACATGATGCTGAAATCACATGGGTACAGGAAACATTGAGTAGCAACAAACATTTGTTTAAAAGCTAAAAAATAATTTCAATGTTTAGATCTGCAGATAATTAATTTTGTATTATTTCATTGGCTAGCATTTATTGAATTAATGAAAGAAGTGTATTAAAGAAAATTTTCTGGAACTGAATGGCGGTGGTGTGGCGAGTCATCCACAAATGGCAAATATTCAGAATGCAAAATGGACAAATTTCAAACTTTAAACAATACCTAGACCAAATTAAAGATAAATCCAATCTATTTCTAAGACTAAACATAGATAAATCATCAAAATTTGTGAAAAGAACAGGAAAATATATACCTAATCATTTAAAAAAAAATGTATTAACTAATAAGAAATGTAAAATATTTAAACAAAATAAAATCCCAAATCCTGCTGTAATAAATTAAAATATGTAGAAAAAAAATATGAAGGCATTCATCTTCTTGTACAAGCCAGTTCAACAACCCACCCTTTCTTTCTGAATCTGAATGCCAGTGAGCTCACAAGTGCAAAAGGGAATCAAAACTAGTAACCTTCACCCTGATATAATTCAAGTCATTCAATTATGTGTGATCTCTAAAAATTAAAAAAAGTTTAATTTCATGTCAAATATATATATATATTTTTTTTTTTGTAAAAAATTAAACTTCAATCTCTTACATTTATTTTGCAACAGTCCTGTATTATAATACAAGCAATTATAAGCACATTACTTTAATTTGGTAATTAATAAATAAAAGTTGGTTGAAGGTTTTAAAAAGTAAAATCTTACAGAAAAAAAGCTTGAAACTTAGAAAGAATTAACAGCCACAATGTTTTAGTATAGTTTATAAAGAAATAAATACTACAATAATGTAACAAATGGAAAACTACAGGAGGTGCAAGTAAAGTCAACAACAGTTTCACTAGAGTCAAATGTGCATTGTAAGGTTTTTTTTTGTATCTGCACAGCAGATTCTAAACAACATACAGGAATCATTGAATGTATAGGGGCAATAACTTATTAGAACTGATCAATAATGACTAATGCTTTTAGTGACTTAGTACTGAACTGTATTAGCATCTCAGTTAACAGCTTAAAGCACACAGCATGCTTGTGATTAAATCAAAGACTTAATAGTGCTATAATCTTTCAATCATTTAGAACCAACAATACCATTTTACAATACAACTTCTTGTTGCTAATCTGTTTAGGGTACCAATAAGTATGCAAGTATATCAGATTTTCAGAAAACTTGTCCTTTTTAAACATAAGGTCTAGAAGTTTTCTTATATATTAATGAGGCTTAAAATAAAATCTGTTACTAATAGTGACACATACAAACCTGTGAGGGAATAAAATTCAAGAATAATAATATTTTATGGATTAATTAAAATGTTTTTTTTTTGGAGATGTATGTCTCACCATTAGTTTAAAATATACATAAATCAGAGAACAATTTTTTAAAAGAACAAAACCAAGACTGGTGAATGTTTTTTAAATAGAAGTAGAGAATAGGATAAATATGTTGAGTTAAAAAAAACCATTCCACTAATAATAAAGCACAGCTACTCTGTGCTCCACTACAGGTATAATATTAACAATGATAAAACATGGCAACTGTCTCCCAACAATATGACAGGAGAATGAAATATGAGGAAATAATGTATACATCTTCTGAAGTCAATAAATTATTTTTTTTTGTCTTTTATACACTTTTCCAATAATTGCAAAAGACATGCACATTATACATTACTGGTCAACAAAGAAAAATGCCAGACTATACAGAAAACTGTTTGTACACCATTATCTTACATATCATACCAGGAGTTGGTTTAGTAGCTTGAACAGTTGTGTTTTAGTGAAGTTGAGCTGAATGGTGACATCCCTCGATGCGTCTAGCAGGGTGGACGTGGCCGCTACTTGGGATAAGCTCGACGCTGTCCGTACTTCAGTCCTGGACCTGCTGCTGAAGACTGACCTGGGGCGTTACTTTTCAAACTTGCAGGGTTAAACAAAACTGGCATGGTTGGTACCTGCTGGCTTGGTGCTGGGGTGTCAGAAGAACTCTGGGGGAAAAAATTAAATGTATTGAAAGAACTCTTGAAAAAAATGTTTCAGCCGAACAAATTGGAAAAAAAAATGTCTGTATCAGAATCTTAGAGGAACAAAAACTGATGAATCAGAAGAACTTTAAGGAAAAAAATTAATCAGAAGATCTCTAGGGGAAAAGAATGGATGGATGAGAAGAACCTGAGAGAGAAAAACAAAATGATGTGTTAAGAAGTGCATCACTTAATTAACAGCAAGATTAATCTAATCCTGAAGTTCACCAGTCTTAAAAAATGCAATTATTGATCCAAATGTTTACACACAAGAGGACAACCTAGTTTTAATATTTAATTTGTAATTAGTTACAGTTGTGGTTTGGACATCACTAGCTAATTTAAGGATTAGGTAAGTTGTGAGTTTTTTTTTCAGTGCATACAAGCAGTAAATTGTGACAATTAAATAAAAAATTGCAATATTTTAAAAAAGGGAAAAACTGACTAATCTGAAATTAATGCATGATAAGTCAAAAGTAATCTAAAAGAAAGTGTAGACAAATTATAAAGTACAATGTCTTTTAAATAACCTAAATAAACAACACAAATATGGAAATGAGTCTGACGTATACAATTTTTATTGGGAGTGTGTCTGCAATTATTGTAGCGAAGTGTCAACTTTTGTGTTTATTCTGTGTGGTAGCTGTGTGTAGTTTCATGGTCCTATGTTTATTCTGGATGGAAAATGTGTGTAGTTTCATGGTCCTATGTTTATTCTGGATGGAAAATGTGGGTAGTTTCATGGTCATGTGTTTATTCTGGGTAGTAAAACAATTCTGTCAGAAGATATACAAGAATTTTAAAAAACATCTAGAGATTTTTAATTCTTTAAAAAAAGTTTATGCTAAAACATAAGACATACTTTATATTTTTACCACAAGTGTTTCAAAATATTAAGAGAATAGTTAAAACAGGCAGACATTTAAAGTAATTAAAACAACTGCTGAAATTAGCAGTCTTACAAGTAAGAGAAAAAAAAGGAAAGAAAAGAGATAAATTACAATGCATTATAAAATATACCAATATTACAGATAATTTAACAGTAAATTGATGAAAGAAAAGAGATAGCCATAACATTTTCACAATAAATTCATAAATTGGTGCAGAGAATTGAAGAAAATATAGTACAACTACAATATTTGTTGTTAATATTAGTTAAGACCTGTATTGACCAGAAGATGTTTGCATTCCAATAAACAATTTGAAACATTTGATTGCAGTTAATCTTAGTGAGTGATCTCTACAAGAACTAAAGTAAATGTTTAAATGTATGCAAAAATCATGCAGAACATATCTTCAAAGTGTCTTATGGCCATTCACAGGTCAAGTAATATTCCTCTAACATACCTCCATTGGCCCTGAGTGCATGTGTGCTTTGAACAATGCAACTGTTTTTTTTTTTTAAAAAGCATGGTTTGAGACCATTTGAGTGTCAGCTATTGACTTTCTGACACTGTTAGCTTTTTATTCTAGACAACCCATGCTTAATTATTTAAATTTATTTCAACCATTATATAATAACATGCACAGTACCAATCAAAATAAGCATATGGGTGCCTCAAAACCTAATTCAAAATTCACTACATTACAGAAAGAAATTATATAAAAAAATAAAATCTTCACTACACACAGCACATAGAAATAAAAGAAACAGTTATATTAATTGTACCTACACTTTAATATGATTTACAGTGTGCTACATGCTGAGTTAGCATTATAATAGATAAGCTTATTACATTGCAAGCCTATAGTATACATTTTCAACCACATAACTTGATGCATTAATTTATTTTCTAATGTTAGTGTAAATAATATATGTATATGCAGCTTTTAAGCTATAAAATGAGTGAATAATTTATTTAAAAATATGTCAGGTGTATGCAGCCACAGCTATGCTACATGACTAAAATCTATGGTAGTCAACTCCTCACTCTTGTCTATTATTACTTTAAGTAAATTCTCCTACATTAAACATTCATTAAATACTACTATTTTAAATATTACAATTTATTAATTTAATTTAAAACTGTGTAACATTTTTTTAAAAACATAACTGATTCAAGAAATAATTTTGATGAAAAAGATTGAAACAAAATTGAATGACATCAAGTTAAAATAAAAGTTTGAAAAAAACAAGGACAAAATTTTTAAAAGACAACTGGGCTAGAGGAGTCAACATGTAAACAAGTAATGCTAGCCAACAAGCAAATACAACTGTGTGAGTGTTAGTTGTTAGCACAACTCTGTCAAAAGGAAAACTGTGTTACCTCAGCAAAATAATGTTGAATTTCTTGGGATAAAGAACTGACGGAACTAGAGCGGGACAACTGCAACAGCAACAAGACCTGTTACAATACTGCCTAGGTGTTCTACTGCACATTGGGTTTAAATTACTGCCTAGATATTCTACTGCACATTGGTTTAAATAACTGCCTAGGTGTTCTACTGCACATTGAGTTTAAATTACTGCCTAGGTGTTCTACTGCACATTGGGTTTTAATTACTGCCTAGGTGTTCTACTGCACATTGAGTTTAAATTACTGCCTAGGTGTTCTACTGCACATTGGGTTTAAATTACTGCCTAGGTGTTCTACTGCACATTGAGTTTAAATTACTGCCTAGGTGTTCTACTGCACATTGGGTTTAAATTACTGCTTAGGTGCTACTGCACGTTGGGTTTTAATTACTGCTTAGGTGTTCTACTGCACGTTGGGCTATAATTACTGTCAAGAAGTGCTACTTCAAGTTAGGTTTAATTTACTGCCAAGGTGTCCTATTGCAAGTTGGGTTAAAATTATTCCCTAGATGTTTTACAGCACATTGGAATTAAATTACAGCCTAGTGTTCTACTGCAGGTTGGGTTTAAATTACAGCCTAGACGTTCTACTGCACGTTGGGTTTAAATTACTGCCTAGACGTTCTACTGCAGGTTGGGTTTAAATTACTGCCTAGGTGTTCTACTGCACATTGGGTTTAAATTACTGCCTAGACGTTCTACTGCACGTTGGGTTTAAATTACTGCCTAGGTGTTCTACTGCACATTGGGTTTAAATTACTGCCTAGTGTATTGCATATTGGGTTTTAATTACTGGCTAGGTGTTCTATTGTACATTGGGTTTAAATTACTGCCTAGGTGTTCTACTGCACATTGGGTTTAAATTACTGCCTAGTGTTCTACTGCATGTTGGATTTAAATTACTGCCTAGGTGTTCTACTGCACATTGGGTTTAAATTACTGCCTAGGTGGTCTACGGCATATTTAAACAAAAATTTGATTTAAAAAATAGAATGTTTTGTCCACCTCTAGTCTCTAGTCAATTTTTAGAAATTAAAATTCATGCTATGAAAGCACCACTGAAAGAAAATATTAGCAAGCCAAAAAAAAAACATTTTTAATTACTGGTAAACACATGCAGTAATTTCTAACAAATCGCAAAGCAAAACATGTATCTATTTCTATAAACAAACTATTCATTAAATTCATTTATTAATACTGCAAGGAAAAATATCTTGTTTTCCATTGTTTTTAATCTGATGCTCACATGATACATTAGAAGACTTTATTTTGTAGTACACCATAGACTATTTGGAAAAGCAATTCTATACTTATGCTTTAGATAACTAAAAAAATAATCAACCCTGTACAGTATAATAATGGCAGTTACTGTATGTTTACCTTTGCTTGATAAAACATCTATGAGTGACACAATTTTTATGCTTTAAAAACTTTAACATGTGATCAATGAAAACATTCAGTGTTATTGAGTGACATTCACATTACTTATGATGCGCAAGCACTCACTGAACAAAAACCTGCATCGAGTACTACAATTTGTGCATTAAATTATTTCCTCTTTCTTATGAACACAACAGAACCTGAGTGACTAAGTGAAAGTTGGGGGATCATGACTTTAGAAACAATACCTCCACCAAATACACAGAGGGCACATTCAATGTTTGGATCATCCTACCTGGTCTGTGGTTGGAGGGACTAGCAGCTGTCCCCCTCCCTGATTACTGTTATTGCTTGTATTCAGTGATGTGTCATTGGCTGGTGCTGTGTCATTCAGATGGTAGGGAAAAACAAACTTGGTTAAAAGCAGTTCAGTAAATTAATCATGCAGTGATCATATGGTTAACTAAATTCATCATGCGTTGATCATATAGTTAATTAAATTCATCATGCATGATTATACAGTTCAGTAAAATAATCATGCATTGATCATACAGCTAAGTTAAATAATCATACATTGATCATACAGCTAAGTAAATTAATCATGCTTTGATCCTATGGTTAACTAAATTCATCAGGCATTGATCACATAGTTAACTAAATTCATCATGCATGATTATAAAGTTAAGTAAAATAATCATGCATTAAACAAACAGTTAATTAAGTAAATTAATGATGCATTGATCCATAAAGTTAAGTAAAATAATCATGCATTGATCATATGGTTAAATAAATGCATCATGTATGATTATACAGTTAACTAAATTAATCATACATTGATCATACATATTAAATTATAGTAAACATGATTGTTTAATCTAAAATAGATCAGAGGACGTAACCTAAACAAGTTATGATTAAAATTTAAATGCAAATCTACATGCAAAAGTAAATGTCTAGCACATATGTATCTAAGTAACAGTGTACATCTCCAGCATATCCTTCAGCAATGAGATGTCTAATTCATATTCAATAGCAATTATATATTTCTACAGCTTATTGGTTAACAATAGCTTGTGTATTGTCCTAATCAAAACCCAAAGCACTTTAGTTTTAGTGCAGTGTGTTATTTAACACACAATAAGTAACAAAAGTACATTTTTTAAAAATGCAACACTACTCTGACAAAAGTAGCATGACTTACCTGAAGAGCCAGGTAAAAAGACCTGTGGGGGTGTGGCTGTAACAGCCTGGGCTGTAGCAGGGGGCATGACATTGAATAAGTTTTGTGGTACAGACAGTGGCTTTGGGTTGTTCACATCTACATACTGTGGCGGCTTGCCTCCAGCTTTGGAACAAAAGGTGGAAGTAGAAATAAGGAGTGGGTATCATCTTCAAGGTCTAGATTAATCAATTCTATATCACCGAGCTGGACTCTACAGATAGATGATTTACCCACATGAACAAAAGTTGGAAGTATAAATTAAAAACAGAAATTCTTCTTCGCTTTTAATTGTAATGTTGGACATGCAATACAATAAAGTATTACATGTCAACCATGTTATGTGCCTTATTCACTCTGATTTCAGCCTGCTTTTCATTTTGGATTTGCTCCCATGGCATTTGTCCATCCAAGAACAAACTACAAGGCAACAGTTGTTTCTCTCCTAGATGGGTTGCTGTTCCCCAGTTATCAAACTTCTAACTTTTTGGTTTATTAACTATGAGCTTTACTGACAAGACTATACAAAATTTACAGAGGATTCACTTATTATATTCATTTATTATTCTACGATGATAAATGACTTATCTGTTTCAAAGACAGATAGTTTACCCATTATAGTTTAAGAAACACACAAACTGTGCAGGGTATTAAGCTGGTGTAAAAGATACTTGTGAGTGTTCATTCCTACCTTTAGATTTGAGAGAGAAGCGGTTGCCGCCAGCTAATCCTGTTGGGGGAGGTGGTCCTACAGCACTAGGTGCTGGTGCTGGGATTTTTCCTAATAAAATTTATAAAATATATTACAATAATATAAATTATTTGCCTATAAAAGGATTAAATGTTCTGGCCACAATATGTTCAACTAGTAATGTAACTCTTGCATAAAGAAAAACACTTTAAAAAAAAACACTATCTACCCATGAGGTCCATGTCTTTAGGTGGGGGTGGTGCTGTGCTCTCAGGCTCCTCAGTGCCATCAGCATTAATCCATTTTTTCTTATCAGGGTCCCACACAATCTAGCACATAAGTTAATAACAGCAAGCTCAGAACATGAGTACTAAAGATAATTTTCCTAACAGAGTGGGATGGATATTAGCAAATGTAATTGAGGCTTATTTTAACTTACTTCTACTCCAACCCTAATATTAATTCTGGCCAAATGCTAAAGCTTTACACTAACACCTAGAGTTTTAAAAACTAGTAATACCATTAGAGAAAAATATCTAAAACCCCTCCTTCAAAACATGTTGACAGATTTGTCAAGTTTCTTGGTATGTGTGCATTGCTTACAGATACCTAGAAACTCTCTAATCCTTGGATGATAACTGCTCATTACCAACTCTTCCAAGTTATAGCAAATTAAATGTAAATTTGGCTCAATAAAATCAACCACCAATATCAGCTACAAGGGGAAATATCTACTGGACCTTAGACAAAACAGAAGTTACAAAGAAAGGTGAAGGCAGACATTGTTTTTAGCTGTTAGTAGGATGATAATTGTTGGTGGAGGTATAACATACAGCTGGGTTTTTATCATCAGGTAAAATCATCTCATTTTTAGGTCGGAACTTCTGAAAAAAACCACCAAACCATCCGCCTCCTTTCTGGCCTTGGGAAGTTTTCTGGGAATAAAATATTAAGTTGGATATAACCATCCAGAGGAAAGCTTGAATTTTGCTTCTATCCTGATCATTAAAAAAAAAAAAATCAGATAAAAATAAATTCCATGATCATAAACAAAACAGCTAATAGATTTTTTCAATAAATTTTTTACATGTCTAAAACTATACCTCATTGTAATTTACTCAAATGAGAACATTTTTGTGTAGTAAGACGGAGTGGTCTAGCAGTAGAGAGCTGGTTCTGCTAACCCGTAAGTCTCGAGTTCGAATCTGGGTTCAAGTCAGTAGACTGTCCCTGAGTCCACCAAACTGATGGGTAAAGCAGCTGGGCATAGTGCTGACCACACTATCTCTTGATATGCCATGTCACAGAAACAAGTGAACTCTACCCCATAGACCGTCAGGTTTGAAAGGGGAACTTTAAGACTTACATCTTTAGCTCCAAGCTGCTGTTGAGGTTGTTGTGATGATGGTGGTGAGGTCTTATATGGTGCAGCTTTGACACTGCCCGTGCTGCTCCCAGATGTGGTCCTCCTCCTTCTGGTGCTGCCTGTTGAACTTTCTGACATCGTACGCCACCTATTGGGTGGTGGTATCACTTTCTGATCAGGGGAGAGAGAGTATTTGATTGTGCTATACATTTTTTAATATGGGGTGGGGGAGGTGGGGGATGAAAATTTAAAATGTCAAGGGTCTGATTTTCATTGCTATAAATAATAAATATCATAAAAGCTGCTTAGAAAATCAATATGAAATTTGTTTCATTTCTTCACATCCCTAAACTTATAATTTTAAAATGCCTTCAGTTTAAAAGTGTTGTATTTAGCTCATTAGCATCAGATTGTGTTTATCAAATATTACACAAACAAAATGAATGCTACAAACAGAATGTAGCTATTAAAGGACAATAATTGTTAAATTGCTGTTCCATTCATTCTAAAGAGTTCAGTCCAGCAAAGTTTGTGACCACAACACCCATTGAAAAATACAGTTTGTTTCTATCAGGCTTTATTCAGAACAATGTGAATCCGATACCCATAACACTGGTACGCTAGACAACTAATTTCTAATTATAACTTGACTGATAAATAAGAGTTCATTTCTTTCTGTGACAAAAACAGAAGAAGGAATTGAAGAAGGAATTGTTCGGCAAGTACAATATCTGATCAGGCTGGATTAACTCGGGTTAGTCCCTACAAACCAAAGCACGGAAACAAAAATACTATGTGTTAGTCAATGCATCATCTTTTCCCATGTGCACCAAAGACACATGGGGCAGATGAAGTAGAGTTCATCAGTTTCAATTACCCCAGCATACAAAAGGAGAGTGTGGTCAGCACTATGACCAACCACCTTTGGTTCTTTAACATTAGTGTCAGGAATCCAACTCAGGACTTTTGGGTTAGCAGTTGTAAGCTCTATAATCCGACCATGTTGCCCCCAACCACTGCATGCTCAACTGAAATTCTTTTTTATTAATCTTAGATAACATATGCCTATTGTTGTTCATGAACAAGTTGCTGGACTTTAAGAAATGTCCGATTACCTGATTGCCGCTGACATTGCCAAAGTAATCAAATCCACCAGTGGAAGAATCAATGACTTCCTCATCTTCATTATCATCATCATCCTCTTCCTCTGTTGTTTCATTGGTACTAATACTGGCTCTTTGAGGAAGTTGGTTTTCTGGTTGCTGGTAACCATAGTAACCTTGTGGAACCTGAGTCTGTGAGTGTGTTGCTTCTTGTGTACCTAGTTTAATTAGTTTTGTTTTTAATAAATGACCTATAAATATGGGAATAATATCTTTGAAAACTGTAAACACCAAAAGAAAAAAATATTGAATAGTATGTAAGTAGAATGCTTTAAGTTTAAAAAAAACCCTCTCTAATCATAAAATTTGATATAAACCACAAACCCAACTAATGTAAGGGAAAGTTAATCCTGAATAAGAAAAAGTTAATTTATTTTATTCAAATTTTTTACTTTGATTTGACTCTGCAAATAATGTTTATAATACCACAATGTTTTGTTTCTTAGTTAAAAATGAAACAATCCTCGAGACTAAACATTAAAGACATCCAAAAATAGATAAAGATCATATCAGTAAATTACACCATGCACTGCATCCACCAGCCATTCAATTTACAACAAAATCTTTGAAGGTTCATTTTAAAATTTTATTTACATTAGAATCAAAGCTGTAGACGTTACATATAAATATTAGTTTTATTGTTATTTAAATAATATATCACAAAAGTTCCTTTTTAAAATTACTTTGCAATATATAAACAGATTGTGTTCAATCAACACTTTATCTTTTGAGCTGGTAATAAAATAATATGCCAAAATGCAATCTTTCAAGTATTTTTATTTACTGTTTAAGTTATGTTTACGTTTACGTTTGGAAAATAAAGTGGAACAAGCAAATTTGGATGTTGATACTGGTGGCAATACAGAGACATGCTTTGTTATGTAAGGAAAAAAAAGGAGCGGAGAATGCCTTAAAACCCACCACCAGGATGAGATACATCATCCTTCACTCTGGCATCATCCACAGGGAAATCACTTCTAGTGACTTCACTTGATGTGCCTGGAGTGACTTCCCCTGTTGCCCTAGATACGTTGTGCTGTTCATAAATCTGTTGTTGTGATGGTGTCTGTTCTCCTGGCTGATGTTCATAGGGTTGCTGCTCAGCATAATGACCATAGGGGTATCCTACACCTATACCACATTAAAAATCAACAGAAATAGACAGAGCAAGGGGGAAAAAAGAACAGCAACTGCTAAAAAAGCACCACAAGATTACCCTCAGCACATTTTCTTTTTGTTTATTTTTTTTTGTTTGACAATAGGACACTAAATTTTTTTTTTTAATTTAGTAGTTAATGTGTGTCCTTTTAACTCAAATACATGTATCATACTTCAAGACTCTAGACCCAACCCTAATCTTATCAATGATACCAGCCAGCTTTTTATTTGTTTTGAGGGCTAGCTCACAAACAAAAAATATCAAAATTCATAACCACCTAAAGAAAATGGCTTTTAACTTAATTCCACCACCATTCTTAAAAAGATACTACAAGGTTACATAATTAAGCTAAATTAATTTTTATTATTATATTGGTGTAAAAAAAGTAAGAAATAGTTGTTTGTCAAAATAGATAATTTTATGCAAGCAGGAAATGCATTAAAACAGAGTATATTTTTTAAAAATAATTTTTAAATGCCAATAAAAGTGTTTAGGAAATTAATAAAACAAGGACCACATTAATTTTTAGTATTTTTTTCATTAAAATATTGGTAGAACAGTAATAGTTTTTTTTATAATTCTCAAATTAATTTTTAACAAAACTTCTTTGTAGATGAAAACTGTTTTAGTTTTAACTGTCTTTAAAATTTATTATTTTCTGACAGATTATAGTTGTTATATGATTTTTTGAAAAAAATAAAAATAACCAATAGTTAAATATGTTCAAAACAAAATATTCTGAGTAAAATTCAGAAAAAAAAAAGGTAGAGTGCCCATGGTATTGTTAAGACCCACATGCACAAACAAGAGAACCAACTAACCCTGTTGCCACTGGCTGTAGTCATAAGCTTGCTGAGAGTAACCAGCGTACGCTCCATCAACTTGGTGGTGAAACTGCTCCACCCCTTGGGTGGGTGCAGTGTCTTGACCTTGAACTGAAGATGTGACATCTTGACCTGCATAATAGCCTGAAGAAAGCTGATCTGGTCCTTGCTGAATCACTGGTTGATAAAGCTAAATAAAAAAATTATAAATAAATTAAGGTAGGAATTTCTATTTAAACTTAACACCTATATGACAAAAACATTTAGTGTAAAAATTCCAAATTAATGAACAACTTGTTTTTTAGAGGGAATGTCACTAGTACATTCATTTTACTATGCCATCATTATTCCTACTGGATCACTCACATGCTGTTGCTACACATGGAATTACTTTTAACATTAAATCTGACCCCACTACATCTACTGAATCATCCACCTGCTATAATAAAGTTAAATCTGACCTCACTATATCTACTGAATCATCCACCTGCTATAATAAAGTTAAATCTGGCCCCACTATATCTACTGAACAACCCACCAGCTATTATTAAAGTTAATCTGACCCCATTATGCCTACTGAATCACCCACCTACTATTATTACTTTTAACGTTATATCTGACCCAACTAAGCCTACTGAACCACCCACCTGCTGTTGCCTATACACATCACCAGCTCCACTCTGGGGTGCTATCACACTGGCCTCTGCCCCATTGGGATACCCATGTGAGTTGTAGTCCCCACTCTCACTGCTGGTTGTGGTGCCAGCAAACCCAGCAGGTGTAGCTGTACCTGACACTGGCTGTATGGATCCATCCTACAGAGTTGACATTTATCAATTTCATTTAAATATTAAAAATAGGTTAAGAGTCATTCTTGAAAAAATTAGCACTATGTAGTATATCTTCTGTACAACCGCTAACCCGAAAGTATCAAGTTCAGATCTCGTATTAGGGTCCCTGAGTCCACCAAAAAGGTACCTGACTCAAGCTAGGGAAAGTAAAGGTGGCTGAGAACAGAGCAGACCACACTATTCCTTCATATGCCAATGTCACAAAAACAGCTGAACTCTACTTAATAAAGACATAACATATAAGACAATTTAAGTGGTTTATCCATTTACACTGGGCATACCTCATACGCCAGAGATATTTTTTCCAGCTGTTTGATCCAAAGTGGGTCCTCAGCATCCTCATATGACTGCAAACGTTGAGGGTCTGAAAACTTCAACTTGGTGGAAAGCTGGGGGGAAAAATATCTTTAATGGCATGTGTACTGTTAAAAACAAATTTTACACATTTAATTGAAAATTGAAAAATAAACTTTTGTTGGTTTGCTTTGCCAATCCCCAACCCCCCCCCCCCCCCCCCCCAGGTAATTTTAAAAATTGTTATAGATGTAATATCAGTTTTTTTTTATAAAAATCCTAACAAGACAATACAGTATGTACCAAGGTTTAGCTCAAAAAAAAAAACCTGTCAAATTGATGTCTTTCATCTGATCACACTAATTTCTTTTAAAAAAAATACTTGCTTTACATAGGAAATAATTGATTGGGGGATGGTTGATCCTAATTAAATGTTAAAATGTGTCAAAAAATAGGAACCTGGTAGACAAGTTTAACAAAGGCAGGCTGGAAGTATGCTGGGTACTGCTGAATGTTGGCTGCTATCACTTCCAGATAATGCAGAGCTTCTTGAGACATACCATAGTCCACCAGTTTACAGGCATACAGATACTTGTATATCTAAGTGAAAAAAAAAAACTTGTTTCAGTTCTACAGATACTTGTAGCCTATATCTAATTGAAGAAAAATATAAATCATGTTTCATTTCAATGACGGTTTAAAGAAGTAGCTACGTTAACCAAGTTACAGTAAAACCAAGAATCTATATATACCTGTTTGAGAATTTATGTATTGTGTAAGACTACATTAATCCTATGGATTTTTAAGGGATTAAAATCAAGTTAATGTGGAAGACTTACCTGAAAGTGGGGTAAACAAAAGACAGCATTTCCTAATACTTGAGCATACTCATACACTTCAGTGCACTGTATGGCATTGTTACTCGCAAATTCATTCAATGGTAAACTGAAAAAAAAAAAGAAAATATGAATGAACGTTAAAATATTTAATGAGCACAATTTATTTTTCAACTAAGTTGATGTCGATTCTTCTTCTTCTTCGTTCTTAATTATTAGTGTTGGAGAGGATCGAGATTTATCTGCCAGTGGGTTTGAACTCGAGACTTTGTTCGAATTTATCAACCATGAGCTTTTTGCCGACTCGACCACACCTCCAACACAATTAAGCGTTACGTGTCAACTGGTTATGCGCCATTGAGGCCATTGACTCCGATTTCAGCCTGCTTTTCTTTTTGGATTTGCTTCCATAGCCTTTGTCCAACCAAGAACAAACTACAAGGCAGCAGTTGTTTTAATTTTGGAGTTGTCTCTCCTAGAAGAGTGGCTGTCCCCAGCTAACGAGCCTCATCTGCCCGAGGGTTCGAACTCGAGACTTTTCGGTTTAGCAACCATCAGCTTTACCGACTCGACCACGCCGACCCCTTGATGTCGATTAACTTTTAACTTTATCTGTTATAATTATTATGTAGAAGCTACTCAGTTATCAATTTACGAATGCTAGGCTTTCTGTGTAATAAACTACTTTACAAATCCTTTGTGACAGAGATTTTTAAAATAAAAAGGTTTTTAAACTTACTTGTGACTGGAGCCTACTAGAACAATCTTTGAGGTTTTCTTGGAATAGGTACCAAAGCTGACATGTGCCATTAGGTAACAGAAGTGGCTGGCATGGAGATACCCTTTGGAAGCTGGAATACAGTAAGAATGACGTAATGAGGATAAGAATAGAGAAAAAAGTAATCCTGGCCGCAAAGAAAACAAAAAAAATTCAGTGTTTTTGATTGATGCACTGACCTAATGTATCCCCTAATGTGCAAATGCTCTTCCTATCTATCTCAAACCTAGAGGTCTGATTAGATACAATCATCGCAAGGTGTGGTCTCCAATCACCCCACCTTTCATCTACAATACCCTGTAGGATAGTAAAAAATTCTTAAAACTATTCATGCAAATCACTAATAATGTTAATTTTATTTTTTTAAAAATTTTAAATTTACTTTGTAAATAAAAAAACGAACATTACATTTATTTAGTTAGCAAAAAAAAAGTAAACTTTTTCTTACAGTGACAGCAGCTGGCTGACGTCCTGACATCAACTGATAGAGTGTTTGTAGTGGATCATTCATTTTTATTGCGCTGTTAGCAAACCTTTAATATAGAGAGGGAAAAATAATGTTTCTTGTGTATAAATATAAAAAATACAACTATAAAAAAATTTTTGTTAATAATTTACCTAGTCATCACATTAGCATGAGTCCTTGTGTCCATTTTACTTGCTAAAAATAGGGCGTGGCCCCATAAGTGGTTTTTCATTGCACACTCAAGAGCATCCTGATTTTTTTTAAATTAACAAAATATATAAATAATCATTCCAAAGTTAATACAAAAGTTTTGTTTTTAAATCTACCTACAATTAACACAAAAAAAATACTTGTATTATTTCTATAAAAAAAATAGAACAGATAGTACCTTTTTTCTACCATACAATAACAAATGTCTGAATCTGTCTATCCAGCGCTCCCTTTCCTTCTCTGCTGTCATAATGACAGTTCTGTCAGAGGTAACTCTGACGGCTGGTGAGTCCCTGGCGCTGTTATTTTCCTCGCCATTATCCTCCTCTAGGGCATCTAAACTTGGAGAGATCTTCATCCCACGCAGGCTATACTCGTGAGTAGAAGGCTCATGGCCCTCCAGTAACAAATCTGACAAGTCGGTACCAACGACTGACTAAAAAATTTAAAACAAAAAAATATCTACTTTGAGACTAAATTTAAAAACAAACATTACACTTAATTAAATTTCAGGTACTTCACTCCCATTGAGGATAGCTTACATTGTAAACCAAAGTATAGATAGTTAAAGAGCTAAATTATAATAACCTCTGTTCAACTTCTTGAAATGCAAGTATTCACAAAACAGATATGCAGATAACATAAAGGTAATTTTAAATAAAAATGTGTTAGAAAGGCTTAGAAAAAAATACCATTAATTTTGTAATTAAATATTTTTTTTAATAATCAGCTACAAATTTTGAACCCACCCCATTCTGTTTAATAAGCAATTCAAGAAATCGCCACAGCAGCTGAGCAGACTCTCTATCTGGTAAGCTTATATCTTCTGCACATGCACGTGCTTTCTGCTGACAGAACAGCAGGACATCCTTTTTATGTGTGCTCACTCTGTAGAGAAGAAACAATCCTTTATCAACTATGACAGACAGCTTAATATGATTATTATACAAGCTTTATCATTGTTTGTTAAATAATAATTGTGTTGGAGAAAATCTCCTCCAATATTACAATTAAGTATGAAGAAGATATAGTATGACATACTTATTAGTCTAATTTGTATGAATGTTCTTCTTTAATAATTATGAGTTATTTTGCAAGAGCTTCAAATGTAGATAAGTGTGAAGTTAAAATACATTTATCAAAAGATATTCAAACTAAGCTATATCAAAGGTGCTTTTTAAATGAAGTTTCTTCTGCTTCCAACTCCATCATAGACAATAAATAATTACCTTGTCAGGGGACCTGGGAACTGCTTAAGTTCTTCAGCTTCTGGGCAACTTTCTAAGATGCTCTGGACGTCCTGAATCTCCACCATAGCTGGCTGACCATCAGCTGGTTTGTTTGGTAAAACTTTGACCAGCTGGCCATTGGGTCCAAAGCAAGCTCGTATGTGAGGGTATGTGTATTTTGGTGGGGTAAGGCGGCCTTGGGAATATCCTAACATAAAAAATGGGGTATCTATTTATATAATCAGTGTGGTAATGACAATAGTATACAGTACTTATAATTTTAACATTGTACTTATGTACAAACCAGATTGATGGCCCCCAAAACTGATATTATACCTTGTTGATACTGTTCTCCGTAGTTTTCATAACCATAACCATAATTATATGGATCATATCCATATCCTGCAACATCATAGTAAGGATCATATGGTTGGTATCCATAGGCTCTATAATAGTCCCTATTGTAATCAGTACGACTTGTTGGTCTAGATGCATGGCCATAGTAATCAGAACTGTGGAGGAAACAATATTTGTAGCTTTGTTACATATGCTTCAAAATGTTTTGGCTAATCTTAGCAATTACTATAGATTTACTGAGGTAAAACAAAATACAATTTTAAGGTGGGATAACATAATAAATATTAATATTTTTGTATAGGTTGACAACTAAAAGCTACATTATACTTAAATTTTGCAGGGAAAAAAGAAATATTAAACAGTACAAACTACAAAGTTAGAAAGAAAAATGTGCAATAATAACAAAAAGATGAAAATTACAACAGCAAAGAACATTTAATAATTGAGCTAACTTTAATTTAACATGTAAATCAATATTGATTTACTTGTTAATTTAAAAAAAAGTGCTGACATTTTACGATATTGATATTGATTTGATTGATCAATGTATAACTGCTGAACAAGCTTTTAGTCTTAAGTGTTAGGTAACTAAATCAGCCACCACCACAAAACTAGAACATTTAACATACTTCACTATACTAAATGTTAGGTTTAGGGTTAATATGAAATAGAAAAACTTTTATATATAGAGGTCATAAAAAAGACTACTTCTCTACAACTTTCATGGCTTTTTTTTAAAATGCATACTAGATTATTATGTTGAAAAAAAAAGCAACATAAATATTGTGCTGTTAAACAGGAAAGATGCAAAAGATTATGTAGATGTAAAGAGTAAATAAAAGCAGCTAGAAATATCAAACAGTGACTACAATGCGAGTAACTTCTGATAGATGATGTGACGGTCTATGATGTGACGGTCTATGATGTGAAGTTTTACCCAGTTAACGGAGCAGCTGCAGGCGCTGTTGGTGGAACATTTCCAGGTGCGGGAGACGGAGCAATACCTGGTGTGTTCCCACGAGAATGACTGTGGTTGCTCATGCGATCAACTTCTTGACGACTACTACGGCATGTTTGTTGTTGTTGCAGCTGTTGCTGCTGCTGATGTTGTTGATAAATTTCGGCATGCCTAGGCAAAATTATGAGTGATGTTTGCAAGAGAAAAAAAAAGCAACAAAACAAACAACACCAAAGGCAAGGATTCCACTTGTGGATACACGTTTTTAATAACAGATTCTACTAATAAAATGCAGCAACTACTGCTAAAGGGTAGGTAAGAAAGGAAATAAAAATTAAATTGGGAAAAAATATTAAGAAATAAAGAAAATTTTAAAATGAAATATTGTAATTAAAATACCACTGGGCTTAAATAGAACAGATTTTTCCACTTTCCACAAATGAATTAAGACTTTAGAAAACAGTTGCTTTTTTTAATTGACCTTTTTAAGACTGAGCTCCATATATATAAAATCATGCTATAACTAGCAACATTAAGTCACTACATTTCAAGACAAACAAGCTTTGTAAATACATTTCATACAACAGCTAAAAGGGTAAACAACCAAGCACTGATTGTGTTAGTTACAACATAAAATCATGGAATCACACAGTGATAAGTGCTGAGAAAAATATATTCATTAAAACATTACACACATAATAACACTGAACATAATCCACCACTAAAAAGATTGATAAAGTTAACTTTAATACCTAAAACGATGTTTAAGTTTTCTTAAAAAATATTATATTATTTTATTTTAATTAAAGATGTTACCGATGAAAAATTAACCTTTCTCAAAAGAGCATTAAATTTTTATTTTTTTTCAGACTCATATTAAATATATTTAAATACTGATCAAATTTTAAAACTTAATCTGACAAAGAATGTTTTAAAATATAAACTTTTCACACTCTTTATTTGTCTGTAACTTGAGTACTTCATGAAAGTGAAAAAAAACAACACTAAAAGTATATTTACTTACTTGGCTCCATAATATTCTTCATAATAGCCTCTAGCATATCTCATTTCCTTATCTTTGTAGTAACGATACCAGCGCTCCTTCTCCTCATTATACAAGTCCACATTTCTGTTATAATTTTCATACCCATAACCTAAAAAGTAAATTTTTGAATTGTTTTGAAACAAGGAACAAATATTTTAAATAAAATAACTTTTAAAGAAATCATACTAAGTTTTTCTTTAATATTTGACCTTTCAATACCTTAGATGTAATTTATTGTAAAAAAAAGATAAATGTTAAAAAATATATACAAGCCTACTCATCAGGAGATATTCAAACATAATAATAATAACGAGCCGGCCCGCGGCATAACATACGCCGCTATTTAGTTGTTTCTAATTTTCAATAATTCATAATTTGTGAATTCGACAGTACCAACGCTGACACTGAAAATATTTCTTTAAAACCCTCCCCCCCCTACGTTTAAAATCGTTGGCTCTGCTTGTAAACATTTAGAGTGAACACAGCTCACTAAAACCATGTAGGGGTGGGGAGGTAGGGAGAGCGTTTGCAGCTTGTTTTCTAACGGCTCGAAGAGGAGAATTATATATATAGATGAGGTTAAAGGACATCCCTCATCAAGCTGCAATAGGTTACCTCGTAAAAGCTTTTTTGTTACACATACCTAAGAGAATCTTACTTCTAGTTTTAAAGTACTTAAGTTTTTGAGCCTTATATAATATTCAGATATAAATTAAGATATAAATAAGACTTTCTTCAATTTGAGTTATCAAGTAATTATCAACAGCTGAAATGTGTAAAAATTACATCCACTTCTTTCAATGGTTTCAGTAACCCAGAAATAAAATTCTTTAAGGCTGTCCACAACTTAGGTGTAAAAATCATAAAATTACAAACATCATACTAGTAGACAACCCAGCGTGATACAGATGGTTTTAGGAAAATATTTTTAAAATCAAATAATAAACTTACCACGATTTCTGTCTCTGTAATAATAATCCCTATCATAGTCAGAACGTGATCTGTCAGCATCTTGACCATGAGCTGACCTGGATGAGGGTCGACTGCCCCTTATTTCATCTTAAAGAAATAAGATTTAAACTGATTATCATCTGCAGCAAACAGTTAAATCCATACAGGAAGTATAAAACTCCAAACATAATGTAAACATAATAACTAAAAGTGTTGTTCTTTATAATAAATAATACATAATTTTGTTTTAGATTCAATTATGGCTCTGCTAAAAAGGATAGTTAACTAATAAATTAGGCTTTACAAATGTCATCAAAAAATTTATAATGTACAAAAGCGCTTTTTATGATAATTATTAAAAACAATTTTCAAAATACAAGACAATTATATATTCAGTAACCTAGTGAACAATAAGTTTTTTATATATATATATTTTTTAACAATGGTCAGTTTGAAGCAAATTTAAATTGCGGCGGGTAAAATGCATTCTACTCATAACCAACCTTACCTTGTCTAGAACGAGGGCGGTCATATCTTTCATCAAATGAGCTATCACCATAGTCTCTGTAGCTAGTTCTTTGTCTACGATACGGGTCATCTCTTCCATAGTCAGTCCTGCTTACAGGGCGTTCATACTGGTACTGACCACTGCGACTTACAGGACGATCCAATCTGCCTGGTTGAACATCTGGTTCGCGGCCATAGCGGGAATCTCTGTAATCTCTTGTATCTTTGCTGCTCTTGTAACTTTTATCTCTGTGTTGGATGGGGATGGGGAGGGGGGAGGAAAGAAATGCCACTTGATATAGCATAGGCAGTCGAAGTATTTAAGAAGTATCACTTTATGCAAGATATGTAAGAAACTGGAACTGGCACATTTATAGTTATTAATAGGTTTATCAAATTTAAACTCTAGCTATTCTTTAGTTCAGTAATGCTTGATCATATACTATCATATTATTACTATTAGTTTTATAAGTGTAGAACTTAATATTAACATAATAGGCTGTTATTGCCAGATTAATAGAATTTTGTTATACCTTCTGATATGGTGGAAACAAACTGCTTTACATAATATGTAATTTAAAAGCAGGATTGACATACAAGGGTTAACACAAATAAAATGCAGGTACAACAAAAATCAACCAACATACCTAGGCTCATCAATCACAGCATCTATCTCATCCAAGGAGTCAAAAGAACGATTTTTGTCTTCTCTCGATCTCCCATCTCTACCTCTTTCTGATCTCCTCTCACTTGACCTGCTTGTTGACTAGTCAAATTAAACATTAAATGTTAGTTTTTTGTCAAATTTAACTGCAGTTTGAGTGATGAAAGTTTTAGCTTCTTTGTCTCTCAATAATATGTCAGTGTTAAAAAGTTTTGTATTTACTACTTTATTATCTAGACTGGTTAATAAATCAATCAAATAAAAAATTTGCAGGTGAAGTAGAGTTCACTTGTTTCTATGACCTCTGTGCAGAGGTCAGATACCCACCCAAGATAGGTGTTAAGGGATGACTATTGATTACTTGAGACCAATGATTTAGCAGTCATGTGCTCTTCCATCAGACCATGTCCTCTCATAAAAATATAGTAAGAGACCACTATTTATATAACTATAAAGAAATATGTGGGTCTATGTATATACATTGAATACCCTTGCTAAAATTTAGTGGCCCCTGCTTTTCTTTCATATTTTTATAAATAGCTATGTATTATTTTTAAAGCAAAAAAAAATTTCTTTACAGACATTTAAAACTTTTAACAATTTCTATTATTTTATAATAGGCCTTTAAACAAAACCTAATTAGATAACTCAAAGCACTAGCTAACCTAATGAATGCACTGAAGTGTGTGTTATAGGGCAAACAAGATTATATTGAATTTTTAAAAAATTAAGCCAACATAATTATCTCAAAGTTTATGTTACAAAGCACTGTCATTGAGTCTTCGCCTATGCGTTTTAAATAAGTCGGTTCCATACAGTTGGGTGAAATTTCTAACACAGAATGTTAAACACAAGGAACTAAGTTAAATAAAAGCTTGAAAAAAAATTTTTTTTAAGATCTCATAACTATAATGGCAAAAAACGAGGTTGAGATTATTTAGGACTAGGTCTATTTAATGTTCTGTTACAGTATGAGCTACCTCCTGTTGTGTTAGTTAACGATAATAATTTAATTTAACAATAAAAAGAAAGTTTACCAAGGAATCCTCTGAATAATAGTTTCCACCAACTCTTGCTTTCTCTTCTGGTGCAGATGATTTTGGGGGCCTGGCAGATTCAGTTTTAGGAGTTGAAGTTGTGTTGGATGAGACAGCAGCCAATCCTGGAATTATCAGTGGCATGGCAGGAGCCAGTTGAATACTGGTTGCAGGCGTCTCTATGTTGTCCCAGAGGGTGGTTGCCGGGGACATGGTTGTCTGTCTTGGCCGACTAACAGGATGAAAAGCTGAGTGATGGCGCAGATGGTCACTAGATTGTGCCACCTCTTCAGAATCTCTGGAGTTTTTCCTACCAGGAATCACAGTTTGTTTTGCTAAGGCAGGTTTAACATCACTAGGCTTAATGCTTAGATCTGAGTCATGTCGACTGCCACGGCTACCATCTTCATTAGACTGGCCTGACTTTGGCTTAGGGGGCTGTGGCATTAGAAATGTGTTCTTGCTATTGTCTTGAGATTTATCAGCAAAGGGGGATTTCTCCATCTTGTTGGCGACAACAGGAGCTGGAGGTAAAAATGATGATTTACTGGTGGAAGATGCTGGGGTGGCTTGTTGGGGTGGGATTCTATCATGATCTCGTCGGTAAGGGTTATTTCCAGAACTTACAAGCCCTGAAGGAGGTGGCAGTGGTGCTGCAGAGGCATGGGTACTTTGTGGAACAGAAGTTGGTACAAAATCTTTGTTGTCTGTGACAGAACTAACAAAAGGACTACCGGATCTCCTGTCACCTCCTCTAGGATCATTTCCTTGTGGTACTTGTTCATGGTGTAATGGAGCTGAACTAATATTTGTCTGAGAAAAAAGCCTAACAGTATCTAAATTTCTATTTTCTAAATGTATACTTTCATTCTCTTTGGTGCTAGGAAAAAAAGGTTGAGGCTCCTGATGCAACATATCATGACTTGAACCTCCTTTAGATGGATGTATTCCCCCATCAGATTTATCAGACAAGAAATTAACACTGTTATCTGGAGAACTGTTCCTGCTGCTTGTCTTTGGAACTAACTGAGCTGGGACAATTTCCCAATCAGCTAGCCCAGAAGAGCCACCAGAAACACCAGATCCTCCTGACTCAGCAGAACCAGGCTGGTCACCATCTGGGGATGAAGACCTTGCACCTGTGTCCAACGGCAGAGTTTGAGGTGTGGTATGAATGTTGTGATCAAACCCAGAGTAGGTTCCTTGGTGAACTTCTTGAGAGAGTTCATCTTGCCCATAAATGGACTGTCCAACACTGTTCTGTTCATGAGAGGCTTCAGAAAGATCCACATTCTCCATCTTCTTTACCAGCTCTTGGACATTTTGAAGTGAATCTCTACCATCATCTTCGTCACCAGCAGAGAGGTTTAGTGTAGAAAGACTGGCATTGCTGATATCAGAACTGGTTCTATGAAAAGTAGTGTTAACATTCAACAACCTGTTAAAACCATACGCATCATTTCCCTGATTCTGGTCATCTGTGTTGCGCCCAAGTCTCGGTGGATCTATGTTGCCATCATCATCCCGACCAAAAAACCCTGAGACAGTACCATCGTCGTCATTGTTATGATTGCCTTGAGTGCCAGCAGATTCACTGTCATGACTAGTGGGTTGATTATTATGATGCTGTTGTATACTACTTCCTGAGTTTTGACCTTCTAAATGAGAGCCATTATCTTCTTCAGCATATCCTAAGGGCTCTTGCTGCTGCTGTGTAAAGCTTCCTCCCCAGTTTGCTGCCCCATCTGGAGAACTCCATGTGGTTTCACTGGAGGCAGCACTAACACCATAATAAGAAAGCATCTGTTCTTGATATTGTTCATGCCCCTGGTCATAATAATCCTGTGCCTGACCTTGACCCTGGTCCTCGACTTGCACTTGATTTTGCTGCTGTGGTTGTTGCATCTGTTGTTGGCTTTGATCATAGAACTGACCATCATAAAATTGCTGAGGTTGATTTGCAAACTGGTTGTATGACTGACCAACATACTGTTGTCCCTGGTTAGGGTCAAACGGGGCATTTCCATCAGACTGACCATAAAGTGCTTGCTGCTCTGCATACTGACTAGCATCATTATAACCTGGATTCCAGTCTGTTGTGTACTGGGCACCATTGTAATATTGATTACCTATTGAACCATCATTTGAAACAGGCTGTGGCTGCTGTGATGTAACTGGCTCTCCTTGTGTCTGCTGCTGTTGTTGGCCAGAGTTCCAATCCCAGGAGCTCCAGTTGTCCCAAGAGGTATGGGTATCTTGATTTGATGAAGAAACCTGGCCAACTGACATAACAGGAGCCTGTTGATAACTGTCTTGTGTTGTTGATGTCTGTGTATTCTCAAAAGTGACTGGTGTTTGAAATTGTGAAGGGTTAAAAAGCTTCACTTGCCCTACTTGGTTTGGCAAACCTTGCTGAAAGGGTCCACCACTGTTCCATGTATTACTCATCTTCTGTAAATCAAAGAGGGAAAAAAAGACTTTATAAATCCTTTGTCAAAGTAAAGTCTGTTGTCGTTTCTGTAGCGCTTTGTTTCCACATGGTGGATTGCTACCCAACCCCCCCCCCCCCCTCCTTTCTCATTCTGGACACTTGTTAGTGAAAAGTAAACATTAATCCCAAACTCTAATTCCAGTGTTTTATTAAAAACAAGAGATAATTTTTCGTAGCAAATTTTTCCTCAAGGTATTGTATCATAACAGAACTCTGATTATGATCTTGCTTTCTTGCTTGGACTAAACAGTAAAGAGCCATAAATTGATATTCCTAAAAAAGAGGGTGGGCTTTGATATTTCATGTGAGTTTGACTGGTTGGTGGCTGACACTATGAAATCTTCAAGAGATGGCTCATTATGTATAACAATGCATAGTATTGCATAGGGCCTATAAATCTAGATCTAGAACATATTACATTAATACATACATATTACATAGAGTTAGGTTAGACCTAGAAAATTTAGATCTAGTAGATCTAGAGACTAGATTCTAGAGTCACTAAAGACTAGTAGACAAGTCAAAGCATCAGAGTCAGTAGATGATCAGATACTATGAAAGATAGTACTAGATCTAGAAGATCTTGGTACTAGATTTCTAGATCTGGTACTAAGAGTAAGAAGTAGATTAGTAGATAGATCTAGATCTAGTTAGATAGATTCTCTATTTCAAACGAATGTGGAATGATTAAATGACCAAATGGTCCAAATCAAAAGATTCTGCTACAAAAATGATCAATATGTTACATAAGTACAACAACAGAATACACATTTCTCTACAATACGGCTGCTGAATACGGACGTTCATTAAACTTATAAAATTTTCATAACTTTGACAATCGTCAACTCACTACCGACAACTCCGTCAACCCAACATGACTTTTTTAAATTAAACATTTCTTAAATAAATGACTTACTAGGTAGTTTACCTGTTAAGTGTACAGAGCTGTAGATCTATTAGGCTAATATACATACATCTAAATAATCCCTACACTGGTAATAGCTTCATCTCAAAGGATATCGCGACAGGAAAACAACACAGAATCCATGCTCGGGTTTGATTACGTGTGACACTTTGTATTGCTATTCGAAACTGCGGCTATTATTCAGAAAACACAGTTATATCAATATTTTTTTCATAAATGTGAACTATGTTAAATGTGTGTTCGAATCCCATAAAATGCTAATTTTTAAAATAAAATATCCTTTCTAAATATTTTTATTCGAAAACAATTTTGCTGACGTTTTTTCTTAGTTCTAATAATAGACTTTCCAATTTGCCGAAAATTTCCGGTCAAAGTCGTCGAAAGTCCAAAAATCCTGCTCCGTTTTACGTTAGGCCTTTTTTTTTTTAGCGCAATTTCCATTCTGGAGAATTGCGTTTATTAACCCGTCATTTCTGGATGTATGAATGGGTGGATGTGTGTCCGCAGCTTTAAGTCGTATCTCCTCCTCAACGAAGCAATATCGATGACTCTAGTTCCAAAGCAATATTGTTAAGCAAGTTACGAGGATGAACATAGGCCATAAAAATTCCGGGTTTCTTTCATGGATTTCCCGGAAAAGCCAAAAAAACTCGAAAAAAATGCAGTTTTTTGCCCATATCTCGGCAACCAGACCACTTAGCGACTTGAAACATGTACCAATCGATTCCTGCCGTAATTTAGAACAATATTGCCGAAGAAAGTTTTCAAAAATATCCTTTCGTTCGGTCACAATTTTTTTTTTAATTAATTAAAATTTGGACCGAATTAGTAGGCATTTTTTCCAACCAAACCACACGCGTCATCACGTTCAATAGCTGCGCCATCACGTTCAATGACTGCGTCATCACGTTCAGTAGCTAGGCGCGCAATGGTTTTTAGTCATGTAACTCTATTGTAAATAAAACATGCAAAATACTGAAATTTTTTTTAATAAAAACGTTTTAATAACTAACCAATGGTTTTACTAACCCTGCTCTTGATTTACGCTACGACAGAGCTATTTTTAGATAACATAAGGAAATTGCGCTTAAATGTCACTAGACTTTTTAATTAACTTGTTTTTTTTTTAAATCGCGAATTAAAACAAAAACATGCCTTTCAATTTTAAGAACAGTGTTGAAGACTTTAAGTGCTAATATTTTGGAAGGGACTACATCTAGATCTACATTTTTTATGAAAGGGGGAGGATAAAGACGCCCGATAGAGGATGGAGTCACCAGAGGCCCGCACCGGGTGACACCATTTAGGGGGTGACACCAAGGAAAAAATAGCAAAATATATAGAGAAAACTTTGCGGGTGTGTGTGTAAATCGAAAGTTTGAGGGGGGTGCAAATCGAAAATTTGACACCAGACCATATATATATATATATATATATATATATATATATATATATATATATATATATATATATATATATATATATATATACTTTGTTTCTTTGTGGGGGGGGGGGGTGACACCACGAAGTGCCGCACCGGGTGACACCCGGCCTAGCGACGCCACTGGAAGTCACGAACTTTTAGAAAGCCCATAGTAGACAAGATCTAGATCTAGATCATGGGTTCCCAAACTGTGGGTCGCAGAGGGCTTTCTGTGGCGGGGGGGGGGGGGTACCAACCGGTAGACTAAACCCTAGCAAAGAAATTAAAAATATAAATATTTAGAAGATCTGAAATTCGACTTTACTAACATCACTGGAAATGGAATAGAGAAGAAACAATGCGTACTGTGCAAAGTTTTTCTCAGTCATGAGTCTATGAAACCTTTAAAACTAAAACGTCATTTTGAGACAAGTTATTCGGAACACACCAAAAAGATATGGAGTTATTTCGTCCGCATGAAGCTAGACCTAGTTGCAAATGTCAGAGACTTGATCGAACAGGAAGTTTTCACCAAGGAAATATAGCATTAGGCCTAGTGAAAGTATCAAATGAAGTCGCATTAGAAATTACCAAGCAATAAAAATTACTCAATAGGAGAACATTTTTGCAAACCCTGCATGTTGGAGATGGTGAAATTAATTCTTGGGGATTCCAGTGCAGTTAAGGCACAACAAATATCTATGTCTAATAACACTATTCAGCGGCTTATAAGCAGATATGTCCGTAGATGTTAAAGAGAAAATTTTGAATGAAATCAAGCTTTCGCCATTGTTTGCTTTTCAAGTTGATGAATCAACAGACGTGAGTTCATGTTCGCAGTTGCTTGTCTGTGTGAAATATATTCATTCAGATGATAGCAAAGAAGAGTTGCTATTTTGTGAAGATATGGAGAAAATAAATACGTTTTTTGAAACTGGATGTTTAAAATGGGAATACGGCTGTGGGGTTTGTACTGATGGTGCGCCATCTATGTTTGGGTCAAAATCGGGCTTTCAGAAAACAATAAAAGATTTAGCTCCCTAACCAAGGGGAATCCATTGCATAATTCACCGGTATGTCCTCGCCAGCACGACTCTTACGACTCCACTGCTAATAAAGATCACGAGGTTCTGCTTTTCTAGACTACAGTACGCTGGCTGTCAAAAGGAAATGTGAATGCTTTCTTTTAATTGAAAGATGAAATCAAATTGTTCTTGGAAGTGCAAGGGAAACAAGACCGTTTGATATACTTGAACAACGAAGAGTAGTTGAAGTGAGTATCGTACCTAGTAGATATATTCGAACATCAACATAAGCTCAACATGAAACTTCTGGGAAAATGAACGAATATTATCTCTTTTAAGATAATCTCGGGGCATTTTTTTCAAAGGTGCAAAATTAGCGAAGAAGAATAAATCTTGGAAATATTGCCATGTTTGAGAAACTCTGCAGTGTAGTAGATGAATCTGATTGTAAGATAAATAAATGAATCTCTTGAAAACGAATTGTGTAGTTATTTCCTTTAGAAGAAAGAAGAAACTGCATTGACACGTAGTCGATTCTCTGCTTCCCTTGAGGTTGGCGTTAACAAAAACTCAACCGCGAATGTCGAGGCTAATTAATAGCATGAAATTTTACTCATCGTATTAAAACAGTTATCAAGAATAATTCATATTGAAAGGCTACTAGAAAATCTTATTTTAGTGCTTATTAATATCCTTACTAATTTCTTCTTTTAAATTCTATGCGGGTCGAAGTTCACTTACTTTTTATAAAAGGGGGTCGCCACTTGAAAAAGTTTGGGAACCACTGATATAGATACAGTGGCGTAGCGAGGTCGGGTGACACCCCCCAGAGGCGTAGCGACCCTTCCCGTGGACAAACTTTCAAACTTGAGATTTGCACCCCCCCCCCCTCAAATTTTTCTCTATATATTTTGCTATTTTTTGCCTTGGTGTCACCCCCCCCCCTAAATGGTGTCACCATATAGATCTAGGCACAAATGTAGTAATAATTGGACAATTACCAGAGAAAAGCTACCCTCCCATTTTTCACTTCTCTGATGTAAATCGAAATGTAGTTTTGGTTGTCCTGCACAGGCTTCTGCTTCATACAGCAAAACATACTTTACATTGGAGTTGATTATGCGAATCCTGGTTTTCAAGTTGAGCTAGTTATAGGTCCATTAGTTGGGTGAAAATAACCACTTGTGACTCTTTTATTACAAGCTTTTATTTAGGGGGTCATCCATAAGTGACGTCACGCTTTTTTGACGATTTTTAACTCCTCCTCCCCTCCGTCACACATCGTCAAAAAAGCCAGACCCCTCCCTCTAAATGACATCGACACCTCAGTCTACACCCCCCCCCCCCTCAAAATCGCAGTTGAATTTTTCTTAAAACATCGACATTTTTCCAAAATCTTGTCTGAAATCTGTCAACATAGTGTATTTTACTCAATTCCTATTACAATTTATTAAAATAGTTTTCTAAAACGCGAAATAACGGCTAAAACTCGTTTTCTAACATTGCTTTTTTATAATGCAAAAGTATAATGTAACACAATCTACCCCCCCCCCCCTTTCCCCTCATCACACACCGGTGTGACGTCAGTTGTGGACTACCCCGTAAAAGTTGCAACGTTTATTTGTGTGTTTGTGGCAAATCTTGTTACTTGAGTGATTTTCGGAGACGGAAGTATTACTTTACGGTATTTCCGATTTCTAAAGAAATATCACTTCTACTGGGCCGATTTGTTACAATATGTAGTTAAAGCAGTAGCGTAGCGAGGTTGGGGGGGGTGGGGGGGGGGGGGGGGGCGGGGGGGGGGGAATATGTCACCGGGCGCCGACCTTAGGGGGCGCCAAAATGGGTTGGAAAAATAAATTGAAAGGTTGAGGAGATGCAAATCGAAAGTTTGAGGGGGGGGGTGCAAATCGAAATCTTGTGGGGGAAGTGCAAATCGAAAAGTTTGTCCCCGGGCGCCGGGAAGGGTCGCTACGCCTCTGAGTTAAAGACCTTAATGACAATAAAATGTGACATAAAATTTGACTTAATTAGATGTTAAATTAACTTTTTAAAACATAAATCAATGTTTCCTTTTCTAAGTTCCCGCGCACATCTCTTTTTAAGGACTAAAAAAAAATTAAAAAAAAAACATTTTTACATACCGATTGCACTGGAAGTGCTAATCTCCCTTATTAATATCTAAAGATACACGAGAAAGTTTAGGGGAGATTATAAAAACTTTTTTCAAGACAACTCTTTAATAGGGCTAACACAAACTAGTTCGATAACTGAGGACAGCAACTCTTCCAAGATATACAACTCCAAAATCAAAGAACTGTTGCTTTAATTGTAGTTTGTTCTTGGTTGGACAAAGGCTATGCGAGCAAATCCAAAAAGAAAAGTAGTGTGAAATCGGAGTCAAAGACCTATATGGCACATAACCAGCTGACGCGTCCTGGTTGTGTTGGAGGGAATACCTTCAAACACTAAATTTAAGAACGAAGAATAACAACTAGGTCAGGAAAAATACCATTTCTGTGTGATTTGGAAAGTCTGTTGAAAGCTCTTGGCGTGTTTCCGTTTTTACGGAAAATACAATTAACAAATAGCGGAGAAACCCAGCTTTCCAAAGAAGCCAAATACAATATAATGGCGGATGTCAAACAGTTCGAATTAAGCGATCGTCGTGTAATATTGGAAAACTATGATCTTGTTTTTTTTAGAGGCAGGGTCATACATTTTTTTTAAACTAAGAATTTTTTTTTCTCATTTAAGTTTTTATTCCTAAATTAAGAAATCGGACCAAAAGAATCCAAAAGTGCAAGAAACCTATTATGACGAAAATTCGCTTCCTCCTAGGGACCAGAGTTTCCTTCAACGTCCATTCCCCACCCTCCCACTGAAATTTAAGTCCACCCCCTTCCCAACAGCTACAAGTTTCAAATTTTCTGGAAGAAACACTATCGTGACTATCGTGACACGGATATACCGTTTTGTTAGTTAAGTGTCATTAAATAGCCCCCGATGCACAGTTGCATCTGTTATACCCATAATCCGATTACAAAATTTGCTCGCATGTCAAAAGCAAATTTTTAGCACGCTCGCATCCCAAAAAAACTCTTAAATCGGGGCACTCGAATATCGACGTACGACTGTATCACAGAGGCGTAGCGACCCTTCCCGGCGCCCGGGGACAAACTTTCAATTTGGCGCCCCCCTCGGGATCATCCTTTCAATTTTCGATTTGCACCCCCCCCCCCCCCCCGAACTTTCGATTTGCATCCCCATTCCCCCCCCCCCCCCCACCCCCACTCTCACAAACCTCATAAATTTTTAAAATATTTATAAAAAGCAAAAATGCAGCTCAAATGAGATTTTAATTTGTTTTCCAACCCATTTTGAGGCCCCCTAAGGTCGGCGCCCGGGGACATATGCACCCCCTGCCCCCCCCCCTTCGCTATGCCTCTGCTGTATCATATAATGGATGGCTTACGGTTAAAAAAAGCATTCGTCTACACGTCTTTTGTAATGCGAAAATGCGCGATGCTCTTGGTCTTTACGCAACAGCTTTTAGTAAAACATTAATAAGAAAAGTAAACCATCTATAGGCCAACTCACGCAAACATTAAACAAGTCACAATAGTGTGACCGTCCCGCGCGTTGCCGCAGTCTCAGAAGAAAGTCTGGCGCAACATTTTCAGAGGGTTTCATTTCATCAATGTGTTACCAATCCTATATTCTTAGACGGTGTTCTACCCTTGCGGAGAGAAATAACTTACACTCAGGGTTGTCATACTACACAACATAGGGCGTCTGGTAGTAGTGTGGACTGTGGACAAACCCGCGCCCCAACAACTAAGATTCAATACATAAGGGGTCATGACGTCACGCTTTTCTTGACGATTTTACCTCCCCCTCCCCTCCGTCACACGTCGTCACAAAAAGCCAGACCCCCCTACAATGACGTCACACCTCAGCATAAAACCCCGCCTCAAAATTGCAGTTGAATTTTTTTTTTAAAACATCGATATTTTTCTACAATCGTGTCTGAACTCTGTCAAAATAGAATATTTTAATCAATTCCTATTGCAATTTATTAAAACAGTTTTCTAAAACGCGAAATAACGTCTAAAATTCGTTTTCTAACATTGCTTTTTTATAATGCTTAAGTGTGACGTCGCACCACCTGACCCCCCCTCCCCCATCACACACCGTCACAAAATTACGGACCCCCTCCCCCCTACGAGTGTGACGTTATTTATGGACGACCCCTAAGACCAGAGCAAGACCAGAGTTCCTTTCAGGCATCTCTTCGAGAGGGTGGGGAAAGGAAGTCTACCGCCCCCTAACGAAATTTATATAGAAAACATACTTTTACCAGTGTCCCCGTCCGGAAAATTTTGTCCGCCCCCTCCCCCCCCCCCCTGAAAATATCAAGTGCCCCCAGAAAAAAAATTCTGAAAGAAACACTGAATAAGACCATATAATAAGCATTAGATTTGACAAAAGAGTAATAAAATATCGTTGAAATTTTAGCTTCACTAAAATTTTAAACTTAACTAAAAAACTCTGGAGTAGTCTAGAAATTTATTAAAATACTCTAGATCTATGTTGAAAGAGTTCAGACAGGATATTGGTAAAAAAACATTCAACTGCAATTTTGAGGGGGGGGGGGGTTGTAGGCTGAGGTGTGACATCATTTTAGGACGTCATTTATATAAATTTTATAAATGGCCCCTTATCAAAGATCTTTTGTTAGTACTCTCGGTAACATTCGTTAATTTGCGGACGGTAGACATCCGCAAGAGGGCGCTTTTAGTGATTTAGATGTTGTTATCTAGTCCAGACCCAGAAGCGTCGACGTTCATCTTACGAGTGTGCTTTAATAATCTAGATCTCGAATCTCTATTGTTGTAAAAACAATTGAAGTTGTCTAGATATAGATCTAGATAGATCTATATCTTCACTTCTCACAAGTTGCGGTTTATGACAAAGATATATTATATTAATATAACATAATTGCCAAGGTAACTAGATTCTAGTTCTAGATCTAGATTCTACACATTTTACAATTTATTTGATTAGAGTTTTAGAGTTTAGTCTCTTAAGTTCTTAAGGACTTAGTCTTAGACTGAGTTAGAGATCGACTGGTGGTAACCTAGATCTAGATCAGGATCTAGATCTAGACTAGAATCTTAATTTTAGGCATTTTGATGAAAATCTCAAAACTATTATTTTATAAAAAAAAAGTTTCAACTTGTAGCTGGCACATTAGTAAACTAAGTCAGGTAAAACCTTAGTTTAGCTTCGGTTATTATTCCGTAGTTTTTCCTACTAAATCTAGAATTTATCCAAATTTCAAATTAAACATGACTACTGAATGATAGACAACCATATTTAATCCATTAGGCACTAATTTTGACGTTTTAGTTCGTTTTAAACTAAATTAGTTGGGCTAATTAAATATTTATTGACACTCACAAAAATGCACAACACACCTCTCCATGACAACTCTTCTTACTAGGTCGGTTCGTCACTTAGATGGCTGGATTGACCTCTGACCCTGAAACGTCATGCGTCGTTTTCTGACGGTTTCTAAATTTATTTTAGGGGTCCTATCCACGACAAATTAAAGAACTGTTTATCTCGCCAACTCTGATCATTATTTTAACACAAAATGCTAATAAAATGGATAATATGCCTTAGAATGCCAGAAAAAATCGCGAGAATTGTGTTTGTAAATAATGAGAGGATTTCTAGTGGAGCACTCTCCGTAAAAACTGAACCGCGGCCAAAAACGACCCAATAACCAGGGATGTGACTTTTCCGAATTTTAGCGGAAATCCGATTTTTCCGTTTCAGTTGCGATTTTCCTCCGCTGATTTAATTTTCGCCGAATTTTTCCGCCGAGTTTCAATTGTTTACGAAGTTTTAAAAATTAGGAAAAAAAAAACGGAAATGTCTTCTACTGAAAGGGCCGACATGCTCATTCCACTTATTCGTATTTAAATTTAAATCGACAACTACTGTACTTAGGTCAAACGGACACTCGAATATGCGCATTTCTTTTCGATTGGTCAATTGCGCTGGGTCTGACGGTGCTAGATCAAGATTAAACATAGATTAAGATTCGGAATTTCGGCGGACTTTCGAATTTTTTTAAAGCACACTTTTTTTAGTCCAAATTTTCCGCTGATATTTTCAGTTAACTATTTATCAAAAACACGGGAAAAGGTAATCTAAAATAATGCAGTTATTCAAATAAAACTTACATATCTTAAGCCTGGTAATCTAGCTGTCGATATAGCCTAATTTACCTATCGGTATTTTAACCCGCCTAAATCTACAGTTTCTCTCTGATTTTATTTTATTTCGCAATCTCAAATTAATATGGAAATCCTTGCAAAAGGTGACTATGAGGACTAGACTAACCCGCCCCACCTCGTAGCAACGGTGTCTCTTGTGACCTCGCCTTGACCGCAAGTACGTCTTCAGTACTGCTTGTGGAAAAAAAATGACGTCACAGTCAATTTCAAATAGCTGTTCCTGAAATATGCTTATGCTTCGTAGGCCTACATATTTAAAAAAATACTAAACTCAACGTGACTACGACCGTGTCTTGTTTGTGGAAGAAAAAATACGTTCAGACTGTGGGGGGGGGGGGGGGGGGGAGTCTGGCATTTGTAGGAGAGAGGGGAGGTAAATATCGTAAAAAAAACGTGGATGACTCCTAACAATTTACAGCTATTCCAAAAAAACATAAATATCGATGTGGCTTGGTTATCATTATGATTAACTTTGGTTTACATATCAGACCCTATCTAATTTTAGCTAACCTGGTCCATTTCATTTTTCCATCACATTAAACTAAAACTTTCAAATTGTAACTAATCTTAATCTAGGGTCTTTACAGTTAAAGACAAATATTTTTACCAATCCAATCTTTAAAAGAATATAAGGCATTAGGCCCCCTATTTAAAAATTGAAAACAGGAGTACATCTAGAATCTACACTAGAATAGTACAGTTTAAATTAGCTTAATGGTAAAATAAAACTTAATTGCTACTTGTAATTTTTAAAATGTTGTTTATAAGGTAAACATTAAATTGCAATTAGACAAGACTTTCAATGTCATTTTAGAGTAACATAAAGTTCTTGTATTTAAAAATATTAATTTCATTAAGCAATTAATAAGTACAGTAACAGTATGAAGCTGCTTAACCGCGATAAAAAGTAGATAAAACATATTGAGTTATTATCCGAAGAAAATTTCCTAATTTTTTTGCCTGGTCTGGTCACATCCCTGAATAACGGGGAAAACGGCTCCGATAACACTAAATTAATATATAATTGAGATAATTACCATGTATATTTACAGTATTATCGATTCTACTTTCCAAAATCTGATTCCAAAATGAGGTACCCACCCTGACATTTCTATCCGCTATTTTTAGTATCATGACGTCATTGCTACGCTAGTTGCCAGACTGAAACAACTAGTTTTTGTTTTTTACGGAATGAACTGTTAAGTCTAGTATTTTAATTATTATTAAATATTATTCAATTGTAGCATGTGGGGAAAAAGTAAAATTATGGACATTATTATTGTATTAGTAATTTTATTAGTATATTGATTTTTTCTTCACTGTGGGCCGACCGTTGCTGCATTCGTGACCGGTGGTTAACCTCGTCAACGCCGCGTGGCCTATTCGTTTATATAATCAGTGATGCTCGTTCAGTGGCCTTTTTCAGCGCTAGGCCTAATTACAGCGATTTTTAGACTTAATTGATTGGCCGTTAGCCTTTTTCATTGCTGCGTATTTTAAAAAATGCTCGTTCAGCGGCCTTTTTTTTTGGCGCTAAATAATCTGTTTACGTGCATTTTAAGCGTTTATTTATTTATTTTTTTAAGCTAGACGTAGATCTAGTTAAAAAAATATTTTTTTATACAGCTGGCTGATATGCGAACTTTTAAAAAAACGACCGAGCTTTTAAAAAAAATGACCAGAAGGGAAATAGGTCTGTTTTTCAATTAGCTTGAAGAAGGGTGGGGGGGGGGGGGGGAGAAGAGAGAGAGAGAAGTGAAGACACCGACCATCTCGTCTGCGCGTGTTCATTCTATGACGTGTACTATAGGCCTGCTGAAGTCACGGTGACCCCGCGACCGTGGTGGGATTTTTCATCCACAGGATAGTAAACATAAGCAAGCAATCACGCGAGTGACGATGTTTGGAGATTTTATTTTTAAAAAAAATCACATGCGTCATGTTTTCAAGATGAAAAAAAAAATGTAATGTAAAAAAAAAAAGACACTAATACCATGTATGAACCTCAGCTGCCACACTGTTGACTCAATATAATGTGATTGAGTGTAAAATGTATTTGTATTTATAAACTATCTTAACTCTTAACTATTACTATCATATTATTTTATGCATATTTATTATTTAAAATTAGAATTTGAAATAAAAATATTTATTATGGTCATTTGATTTATGCAGGTGTTCATTACTTCATAAAATGGTATGAATAACATGTAGATTAGAATTTAATAAATAATAAAATAACTAGATCTAGTTTTATTATCAACCAGTTGCTTTTTGTTATTTTCCTGTGATTAAATAACCTAAGCTGACGCAATTACCATGGCGGGAATTAAAAGCTCGTGCACACAAAACCACGACGTCATGTTATGCCGGTCGAGGAGCAAAAACGATGTTCTGACTTTCATTTTCCATTCTCGGAAAAAATTTAAATTCTCTCTTTTCTCGTCAACCGATTAAGCTAGATATTTAAATGTGGTGTCAAATGTTCTCTTAAGGGGTAAGGAACTTAATGGTGTATTTGAAATAACAGAATATTTTATTTTAAAAAATCCATAATTCAACCTACTTCTTACGCTTGAAGCTAAAGAAAACCACAAATAGGTTAGACTTTTTAAGTGGCCATGTACCGGAAGTTCCCCACTAGTGATCATCAAATAGCGGTCACGTGGTTTAAAAAAATAAATAAATTTGGTTGTCATTCAAAAGTCGTGTCTTATTTTAAAAAGCGCATGTAATATTTGATTTATTTCTTCATATAATGATAAACCTAATAGTTCTACAACCTCCAATTCATTTTTGTGACCTCCGGGCTGATATTTTAGAAGTTCTATTAATTTTAATGAGACCGACTTTTAAATTTAGCCTTCATTCTCCAAAGCAAATTTTAAAATGCTTTTCTGGCATATTTAGCCTTGCCACCTATAGCATGTTTTATAGCGTGAAAACCCGCCATTTTACTCGTGATAAACATTTTTAAACGTAATTCTAAGAAGGTCTCTGGATCTAAGACGAAAAATCGTCGGAAGTCATGCATCCGGTCCGTACGCCATATTGTTGTTAGCAACCAGCCACGCCTCCGGGTTAGCGAGAAATACTATTATTCCGAAATGGTATAGCAGTAAAAAACAGTAAAACAATATCAAAGTCTGTCACACAGTTCAGGTATCCACCGGAAGTACTGTAAACCATACTTTATTTGGCGTCATCCTTTATTTTTAATACAGAACGTTTAAAATTTGGATAGATTTATTTTAATTGCGTGTGAAATGCTGCTCTATTACTTATTTTGTATAACTAGTTATTTTTAAGTGTTTCAGCTAAATGTTTCTGCTACTAAACATTGTTTAACAGGGTTTGTACGCAGTCTGGAAAAAGTCTGGATGGGTCTACACTGTGGTATGACGTTTTTCGCTGGGTATCGGAGAAGAAACCTGATTTCTCAGTTACTACGTCATTGGGGGAGGGGGGAAGAGTGTTAGACCTGTCTTTTTTTGTTGTTGTTGCTTGACTGACCGTGAAAATGTTAAGGGCTGGACTAACCCGCCCCTCATAGTAACTAAGGTCACTGATATCTAATCTAGTATGAACTCACCGTGACCCCAAGTACGTAGATGGTGCTGTTTGGCTAGGTGAGAGAGAAGTGGGGAATAAAAGTTACGGTACAGTTCATGATATGACGTATTAGACTGGGCTACTGTGACCCCTCCACTAAAAGATAGCTAAAAGTTAACATAATCAATAAACAATTAAAAAAAAAACAAAAAAAATTAAGGCAGAATCTAGCATGCAAAATGGAAACTACAGCCTTCATTCGCGGTGATGTTTTCAGACCTGTTGATCCATATGGCAGATAGTTTTAGTAAATTAGGTCAGCACTAAGCTCAGCTACATTTTACTTTCCCTATTGGAAGTCAAGTAATTATCAGAACTGGGTGGACTCAGGGACAGCTTTGGGCAAAATCAAAATATTAGATGTCGAGCCATTACCTGCATTTAGTTAAATATGCATGTTTAACCCTTTACATTCGTATGCATCAGCGATTGCCAGAGATTTGTTTGGTACAGTCCAAGCTGCTCGTGGTCACTCGAATTATGTATAGTACATTTATTCACTCATAGATTTTGCAGATACCATCAGAAATAAGAAATTATAAGTTTGTAAAAATTGTTGTAGGTCCTATTTTGTAAAATAAAAACTCTATATTAGTAAAGCTTATGTTAATTGATATCAATTTTTATTAATCTTGGACTTTTGAGGTAATATTTTAATTATATAAACTTCTTTGATTTTACAAAATGGTAAATGATGATTTTAAAGGATCTTTAAACCAATGGATTCAAGCCTTACAAATTTTAACTTTTTATTTGTCCAGAAATGGCACCTAACAATGCCCTTACAGCTTGGGGCAATGACAAGACCATGAATCTCAACACCTTAATTTTAACAAATATACAGTCCTCACCTTATTTTAAAGTTCAACTCTTTGAACTTAAAACTTTCCATGAAGTTGTTGATGAAATCTTCTACAGGGTAAGCATCTTTTTTTTTCACTGGTGTTTTTTAATTTGCCACACAATTTTTTCCCTTTGCTATTTTTAATGTACCCATTTATTCTTCGGCAGGTTGAACATTTAGAACCTTGGGAAAAGGGCAGCAGAAAAACAGCTGGTCAGACTGGGATGTGTGGAGGTGTAAGTTATTAATCTGCTATTAATTCATATCACGTTACTTTATTTTAAAAAATTTTAATTGCTCAAAACCATTTTTATATTGTTGTAACTTTCATATTAGGTGCGAGGTGTTGGTGCAGGAGGAATTGTTTCTAGTGCATATTGTCTACTATTCAAGCTGTTTACATTAAAATTGACAAAGAAACAGGTCAATAACCTCATTACACATGGAGACTCTCCATACATAAGAGGCCTTGGATTCATGTACATCAGGTAATTTATATTTTTCTAATACATAGGTTGTTTTTTTTTGTGTCAACTTCAGAAAAATAAGCAAAATTTTCTTGTTTAACCATTAATGTCCCGTAACGCCCGCTGCCGCCCGACACTGTTAATGTCCCGTAACGCCCGCTGCCGCCCGCTTAAAATACGCATAGAAAAATTAAATTTGTTTCATTAAAATTTGGCCTACAAATCCTAATTTTTAACTAAACAGGAAGTCGGATAGTTTCAGCGTCCTTTTCCGGTCTTATAATTTCAATGGCGCTTTTGAAAGATAAAAAATAATAGTTTTTTTCTATCTCGAAATTTTAGACTCATCTGTCCTTTTTTTAGTAGATTTAATATTAAAAATAAAATAAAATAATGCCTCTAAACGTATCTAGGCATGTATTTTATGAATTATTTATCTTAAACATAACCAAATTGATATTTAACTGTTAAATTCGATGCATAGTTGTTTAGACAAAAATAAATAAAGTTGACTACCGAAAATGACCTGTTTTGAATTTTCTCCGACATTTTTTATTTTTTTACTGTACTTTTACCGAATATAATATATTCTATTTAATACTGTTGGAAAGCCAGGTTTATTCTTAACATTAAGCAGTAGTTTTTATCTTAATTTTCAATTTCATTTAGACAAAAACAAATATTTTGTGAAACTATTCACTTGATCATACAGAGTTATGCTCCTTACATTGGGCCGTCATGGGTGGAGTTTTGGTAGAATGAATGGGACATTAATGGTTAATTACAGTGTATATTTCTAATTTTTCTAATTTACTGATAGATACACACAACCTCCTCCTGATCTATGGGACTGGTATGAACCTTATTTGGATGATGAAGAGGTATGACACTACTGTTAGGGACAAAAATGGCATTGAACAGGCTTGGCTCTTTACTTGAAAAATAGTAATGAAATTATATCAAAGATACCTTTTCCTTTTTATTGATAGTGTAAAATGTTTTAAATTTGAAACAATCATGAGTACAGTTTTTAAAAAAATAAAGTTTACAGCAAATTTATAAAAAGGTTTTCCAAAATAAAGTTGTTCTTCTGTTGGGCCAAGCTTGTACTTAAAAAATGCAACACAACACTTAAAAAAACAAGGCATATTAATACACACATTTCCACACCATCTGTCTGGAAATAGAGCTGCTCTACAAAACAGCTCAAACTGACTGGTGAGTACTGTCAAAATTTGACAAAAATCATCTTTCTAGTGCTATCCTTTTTTTCTGTTGCTTGCTTCTCTTTTCTGTATAAACTTTTGTGATATAGCCATAGTATGCATATGTACATGTGCTATAACCACAAAATGTTTGTTTCTGTTTACTTCTTGAAGTTAAATCTCCATTGGATACATAGTTTTTACAATTAACAGTCAACAGCTAGCTTAGGATGTAGAAAGAATTAGAACTGACTATTATAGTTCAGGAAAACACTGTTTTAATATTAGCATGTGTAAATTTTATATGCTGATTCAGAATATAAGTCAGACTTGAGGAGAATCTTTGGCTGATTATCACCAAATAGTGTATTAAATGTTAGAAAAAAATCAGCTTCACACGTACTGTATATAGTTCCATAATTGATGTGCTGTTTTGTATGTACAGGGTCTTTGCCTTAGCCCGTGCGAGGATTTCCAATATCTCCCAGCATCCTCCAAAGTCTTTCATGGACGCCTCGAGCAGAGGTTATAATAGATTCTAAGGGGCCCAGAAAGGGGGCCATTTATTATTTTTTTCCATTATTTTTATGTTCATGTAGTTTTTTTTAAACAATAATATTATTATGACTTGTTCTCTGTTCACCTGGAAATTTGTCCATGGCATTTAACCCCATCCTCAACAAAATTTTATAACAAAAATTGTAATTGTAGGCATTTCCCTTTTAGTTTAGCTTTGAATAGTGTTGAGGTAAGTAATCATTGGCATAAAAACACACAAGTTGTTTTGACTGGATCAATAAAATCCCAAAAAGATGTGAAGAATGTCGTACATATAGTCAGATTCAGCATTAATTTTTTTTCACTCACTCAGATAATTTTAATGGAATTTTCCCTCTGTACACTATAAAACAGTACGTGGCTATATCATTAAATACACAGGATGTTGGAGTTAGAAATACTTTTCCAATGTGTTGAAACCTGTTAGGGTGTGAAATAAAGACTGATAAATGACAAATCTTTCAAATTTAGTGGTGCGATTAACATTAAAGCCAATTTTTTTTTGTATGTCTTAAGCAATTTTATTAATCTTTTTTTCTTTTTTTTGTCTTTTTTTTTCCAAAAAAATCAGGAGCTGGATGTTAAAGCAGGTGGTGGACACATGATGACTATTGGAGAGATGTTGAGGCAATGGCTAGTAAAGCTTGAATGGTATTCTACTCTTTTCCCAAGAATACCTGTGCCTATTCAGGTAATACATTTTCATTGCCAATTAGTTACTGGTACTTTATAATTATAGCTAAAATTAGTGTATTTTAGTAACAGCTATTCCAAGCTTTCAGGCTTTGTTTTGTTTACTCACTTTTTTTTTATAAATCTTAAAACATAATCTAGTTATCTCAGTCATCTGTTTTGTTAACTGCTGTATTTGTATGCAGGGTTATAATATGTTTCTAATGTTAACTGCAGAAGGACATTGATATCAAGCTTCGGTCGAGACCGGTGACTGCAGGTTACCATGGATATGGAGAACAAACAGATAATGAGCCTGAGCACATTCCTGACGATCAAGTATCTTTTGGAGAGGCTGAGAGAGCAGCCATGTCACAACGAGGGTACAAATCTTTAATCAAACAATATTTGAAAGAAAGCAAATATTTCATTATTGCATTAAAATGAATGCTTTATATTTAGAGTTTTCTAATGTAACGTTTTGAGCTATATTGATTGTTTAATATATTAAAGACGAGGTGGTGGATATACTAGAGACAGCTTTAGAAATGGTGCTGTATCAAGAAGAACACCTCCACAACGATTTTCTCCACCAAGAAGACGCTCACCTAGGAGATCACCGCCAAGGCGTCCAATATCTCCAAGAAGTAGTCCATACTCTAAGTAATTATTTTTTATGTTTGGTTTTATAAATTCTAACTAATTGTCTAGATTGTTATATTTAGTTTATTATTTATATCTAGTTTATTAGAATTCTATAATCTTTTTTCTTTTCCAGACCATCTGATGATTTTACAAAGGAATTAGAAAAAGAGCGAGAACGACAGCGCAGGGAAAGAGAAAAAGACCATAAACGTAGTAAGCATAGTAAACACAGATCTCGCTCTCGAGAAAGAAAAAGATCACGTTCACGCTCGCGAGACAGGAAAAGATCTCGCTCACGTGAGAAGAAAAGATCCAGGTCTCATGAGAAAAAAAAGTCTCGTTCTAGATCTCGTGAAAAGAAAAGGTCAGTGTCAAGATCTCGTGAACAGAAAAGGTCACGGTCAAGATCTCGTGAAAAGAAAAGGTCACGGTCAAGATCTCAGGAAATGAGGAATTCACACAGCCATGAGAGCAAAGAACGTTCATCTTCGCATCACCATGACAGGGATGGTTTGACTTCACATCAACGTGACAGGGATGGCCCATCTTACAGCCGTGAAAAAGATTCATCCCCATTCAACCAGGATAATGCCACACATCACTACCCAGACAGTCCCTCATCTCACAGAGAAACAGACGCACACCATCGCAGCAAAAAAGAGCATAAAAAAGAAGAAAAGAAGCACAAGCACAAAGAAAAGGACAGGGAAAAGAGACATTGAAACTTTGTTGTGTCTAATTCATAGCATTTATAAAGTGAAAAAATTTGCCTTTTTAGAACATTACATTTTTTGTTTTAAAATATGTTATCGTCTGTGTTACATGGGTTTTTTTTATTTAGGGGGAAACTTGTTTAAATAAATTAACTTGTTAAAAAATTTCCATTAAAAATTACATTATGGTTAGAAACAGATAATTTTTATATAACTCATGTTGTTTAATGATAATTGTCAGGACTACACTATATATTGTACAGCAAATCCTCTAGATTTTGCTAAATTGTAATCATTTACTTTTTGAAAATTGTGGCTGTTGTATGAAAATCATGCTCTTCTATATAAAAAGATTTGTTTTTGACATTTGTTTTTAATATACTTTTAAGTTAATGGATACAACTTACATTAAGTTGTGATTGTGTGATTACCCAAGTTTCTTAACAATTTAGTTCTTTGTTAGGTATCAAAACATATGGGGTAAGATTTTGTAAAAATGCAAAAAAATTACTGAACATGATTTTGGAACATTTAAGTTTAATGGAGAGTACTGAAAAAAAATGTTAAGTTTTACATTTAAAATGCATTTTTTGAATATTGAAATTAATACTATTAGTTAATTGTAGATCTGTCATTTAAACATTTCACCATTTATTATTTTTTTTTAAAAACATTGTTCATCAATATTGAAATACATTTTTTATGTTGAGACCAAAGTTTTCACTTAAGATAAAACTCTTCATTTAAATATGTGCTGCATAAATTCTAAATTAGCTAAATACTTATCTTACAATAAAAATGATGCAAATGAAAATTAATTTTTTTTTGTTTTCTTTTTAGGCAAAGAAGTAGTAGACTTACAGGTAGATTAACTATTCTGTGGTAAATAAACTTCAATTACACTTTAGAATCTGCCACAGAAAAACATGACAAAACAAAACACCATTGATGACCAAAAACATTTATTATGGCGCTAGTGTTAAAAAATAATTTCCAAACCACACTCCCTAGGTGTCTTTCGCAGTTATCCGCCATGAAGGGTTGATATGAAAACTATCTGGTCATTTTCTTGAATTTCATATTCCAGTTCACCCTATAAATAGTATAAAGAGAAGTTTTTAGAGAATATATAGGTTTTTGAGTATTATCCAACTTATTTTGGTTATCTTTTCAATACCATTAAACAAATCAGTTTTCACAATAATGCTAATAAGTATACCTACAAGTAACTCCCAGTCTGCATCATTCACTAATACAAGAATCCCTGGCCTCCTGCAAACAAAAATAAATTAAAACACTTATTGGAGTATCACAGTACAACCGGCTTGATGCAATCATAGTTACTGTTCCAACAATATAACTTGCTAATGATATGGGATGTGAATAATTCGATAATAATTAGCAACAGTAAAATAAAATTCTTTATTAATATGGACATGTAGCTGTTAACTACTGAGAAAACATCCTTTTAAAAAATGTACTAAATTACTATTGTAACTGAGAGCTAAAAACAGTGCAAATGTACATTTATTTATTTGAATGCTAGACATTATTAGGACTACCATTTTAAAAATAAAACTCTTGAATGATGACAAAATGGAAACTAACAGTGGCTATAATTAAGTTAAATCTGATGTATTCTGTACCTCAGTGATTGTAGGAACAGAAATGCTGCAAAAATCAAGGATTAATTCAAGAAATTAGAAATTGATTACACTGTGTTTCCCTGCATAAACAGTTCAGGTCTTTCTTGAATAATATTGTCTTTGAGCCACAATAACAGATTTTTTATTTGCCCTGTAATAGAAACTGTTATTTGTAAAATGCCAGTTTACTTATTCAACAATTAATATGAAAATAACAAAGATTAGACTATTCTATTCTTCTAGAGCTGTCTTGATGAACTACATTTCAGCAAAACTTACATTTACTATCTTGCTTGGGCAAATGAATATCATGCTTTTTAATATTTCCACACAGTAATTCAGCACCACCACTAAAATCAAGAATAGAATGCATTTTATTATTTTTAGTTTGAATTTGGAAAAAAAATAAATAAAAAAAAAACCACTTTATTTCTTCTTTAAGTTTGAGACTTTCAGTAAGTAGTTTAAAAGTTAGTTAAAATAGGGAAGTTAAGTTGATAATTATTTAATATTGCAGACTGAAGTTTTCCTGGAAGATTCTGCCTATATTATAATATTAGGCCTATTATAACATTTCTTTTTACTATTAATTATTTTCAGTCAAGAGGATGGTGAAGATCCAGAAAAAATAAGACGATTAGATTTACAGTTCATGATATGACGTATTAGACTGGGCTACTGTGACCTCACAGTGACCCCTCCACAGTCTCTTGTTGTGTGTGTGTTTGGGAGGGGGGGAATACCGGTAGTTTTTAATAGCAGACAAAAGTTTCTCAGCTATAAGCACAAATAATGGTGTGGTTACAAAGGTCTTGTTTCCTTTTCAAAATAGGGTACGAACCCTGTTTCTATTCACTTTTACTATTTTTGTAATCATTTTTACATCTTTGTAATCATTTTTACTATTTTCGTAATCTAGGTTTTTTTTTTAACTTGGCCTAGCAGCTAGCTAGATCTAGATCTAATTAATTAATGGTCGCAAATCCACTGCAAGCCAAAAACATTAAATTATTACATTTGACTTTTCTTTTTAGATCTACTAATTCAAATCTACTATTATATTTATTCTTGTTTACTTTTGTCGATTAAACTTAAAATTTAAAAAATGAAAACATTAATTTGCTACAATCGACTTTCACTTTATTTATATTTCAATATATTCAATGGTCAAATGAAATAAACCATGGTTTACCGTAACTCTAGTTACCGAAACTCAACAAACATTAGGCTACCCGATAATTTCCCACGCTAAACTAAGGGACTAAGGTTTTACCAACTTTTAAACTACTTACTGAAAGGCTCAAACTTAAAATACTTAATACAATACACTTGAATACTATGAATACAGCTTATGATTTAGACTCCTAGTAGTAGATCTATAAAATAAATCCAAACTTAAGTTTAAGTATTAATGTATTATTCTAAAAACGAGGAAATACCTGAATTCTACTGATAAAGAAAGTGACATTATCTAACAATAAATTTACTTTCTATCTTTAAATATATTATAAATATCCAGTGGTAAAAGCATAATAGATCTTATAAAATTAACAAACAGCTGGGTTAGATAGAATGTAGTAGATCTAAATCTAAATCATTACTAGAACAGTGTTTATTTTTTAAATTTTCATGGTAAATGAAAGCATTTTTGCCAGATCAAGTTGTTGAAAAATTGCAACAAATTCCAAAAATCACGCATATGAAAAAAGTCGGAAAAAATTAGATCTAGATCGATACTATTATAGAATATTATAGAAATTAAAAAATGCTAATATTAAATAACTATTTGCATACTCTAATCTAATAGTAAAACCAAATTTAAACTTCTAAGCTTTTTGAAATAATTCTTCATTTTAATAATATTCACATTCAATTCGTCAACCATGGAAAAAGGGGAAATTATCATTGTTTTAAAGACAGAGTAGCTTACCCGAGTAAAGCGTCAAAATGGCGACAAGGCAACGAAACAGACCGTCGTCTGGATTCGAAAAAACTCGTCGTGGTAGAGAAATAATGCGTCCTATAATTTCATCGGATGTAATGGGTAATAGAAATGTTGAAATAGTTCCAGTTGGAGCATGGGTTGAGCCTGCGGATGCTGATGTTCAGCAAGATGCAGTAGTAGGTTTTTTTTTGTTTTTCAACTCTAAATAAATTCAAGTTTGGGCTTGAATTTGAATATTAAAATATAAATGAATAGGCCTAATATTAGCCTAATAATAATAAAATTATTAATTGAGTCCAGTGTATAAAAATATTGTTAATATTAATGTAACTACTTTTTTTGTAACATAATATTCCACTGTAACTCACTTAGTACTTGCATATTACTTAGGTTGTCTTATTACAATTTTTTAATTAAAATTTTCTGTCACTTATCATATATCATTACAAACCATATCACTTACTGGTTAATTTGAGACCAAATTTAATGGTCTAGCTTAATTAGGGGCCGAGAAAACAAACAAAAACAAAATGACCTATTAACATCTTAAAATGCGAAACTCTTTTTCGCCATCAAAAGATATCAAAAAGTTACGTTGGTTTGTGTTTTCCATTCGTAGCATGATGTCATAGCAATTACGACAACATTGGGTATTTTAGTTACCAAAAAAAACCAAAACATTTTGTTAGAAATAAAACTTTATATTCATTATGTTTATTAAGGAAATATCAGACATATTTATTATAAATTCTATGTACAATGTACAATTTAAGACATTAGGCATTCCATGATGAATTGAACAATCAATACCCATGAAGATGACAATAAAATTAATATCCAAAACTAAAAATAGATCTGACAGAAATCTAGATCTAGTCCTTCTAACTGTAACGACAATACAGTATTATTAGGTAAGATGATAAATGAACTTTTTTTTAACTTTAAAATTAAATACTCTATAATTAATATTCTCTTCTGTAGTAGCATTAGGTTAGGCGAAGTTTTCTTTTTTTTTTTTTTTTTTTTTTTTTACCAGCTATGCGTAGTAAATCTACAGTCCTGTAAGCTTGCGTGAACTTAAAATGACCCTAAGTTGATTTACAATTTGCTTGGTTTATGAGGGGAGGGGTGGGATTGCCCACCGACGATCTCTAACAGCAATAGTTAATGCTGTGATGTATGTATGGTAGGCCTGCTGAACTCACGGTGAACCCTCGACCGTGTCAACATTTTTCTCCCGCAGACAAGAAAATGTAAGCAGTCGATCTCGCGAGCGACGATGTTTGGAAAATTTTGAATAATTATTTCATAAAATATTATTTCGTTCAAAAAAATTTTTTTTGAAAAAGAAAGAAAATAAAACCGCTCGTGGCATTTCCCATGTGAAACAATAAAATAAAGCACAACTGATTAACGTCGGATTCGAACTCGGAGATTCTAGGTCACCTACCGCACCGTTCTGTTTACTCTGCCACACACCACGATGTATTGGAAAATAAAATATTAGACATTTTGTATCAAAAGATTGCTAAAACTAAAAGGAAATAATTACTACTTCATTTATTGATATCATTCTACGTAGTAACTGAGTAACTGCATAAATTGTACACACAATTCCTATATTTTTAACTAACACAACAGCATTAACGAGGTTGACCAAGTCTAAAAATAAAAAAAAAATTGCCAGTAGGCCTAATTAGATCTAGCACAAAAAGGCTCGGAATGAGCATTGTTTAAAATACAATACTAAGGCCTAATTAAAAACTACATATAATTTCATATAAATTATACAGTCGGGTAGGCCACGAAGTATTAATATTAGGCCTAACAAGGTTAATGACCGGTCACGAATTATGTTCAATGAAACTAACAGTGCAGTCGGCCTACTTGGCTTGCAGTGAAGAAAAAAAATCAATATACTTATAAAATTACTAATACTTTAATACAATAATAATGCCCACAATTTCTGCACATGCTAAAACTGAATTATAATTAAAATACTAGACTTAACAGTGCATTCCGCAAAAAACAAAAATTAGTTGTTTCTATCTGACAACTAGCGTAACAATGGCGTAACGTTGCTAAAAATAGCAGCGGCATGGTATTTCTATGGGGAATTGGATTTTGGAAGAAGGGAAGCAGCATCATTGTAATTAATCATGGTAAATATCTCAAATATATATTTATCTAGGAGCTGTCGAGCGCTGATGCCCGGTGGTCGGTTGTTTTTCGTTGCAGTTCAGTTCCTAATGAGAGTGCTCCATAAGAAATGCTTGTATTAATTATTACTACATATCTCGCAAATGTTTCTGGCATTTAAGCCATAGTATCCATTTCCTTAGCATTTCGCATTAAAATAGTGATGAGATATTGCTAGATTAGCAGTTTTTTTCATTTTTTGCATATAGGACCCCCCAAAAACACTTAAAATGCGAAAACTAAAAGAGCATGACGTTTCAGGGTCAGGTTCTGACTTCCGGTTTTGGTAAGGAGATCGACTAATATTACTTATACTTATATTATACTATAGCCTAGGCATAATGAATAGGTCTAATAACTTATAATTTATAATATAGGCCCTAATATAATGAATCAATTAATTTTAAAAGCCATCTCAATCTCATTGTCACGTGTCGTGTGTATTAGGCCTACTATATTAAATAAAATATTGATTATTATCATCGGGCAGATGAGGCTTATTAGCTGGGGACAGCCACTCTTCTAGGAGAGACAATAATAATAAGTGAATCATCTGTTAATTTTATATCCTCGTGTCAGTAAACCTCATAGTTGTTAAACTCTTACACTTCTCAGTTATGTATTCTTTGTGGACTCAAATTTCAGCCAAATGTCAAGCTTAACTAGGTACCTTACACAAAAAGTTAACCTAAACTGGCATAAAATAGAAAGTCATTTATTTCTTTATTGTCTCACATCAAAATAATGATGAGATTTTCATTCATCACCTGCTGCGTACAAAGCAATGCCAGACCATTGTTTGATCAGATCAGAATTCTGCCAAAGTGAAAACTATTTAGGGATACGTTGTATTGCCAAGCAATAACCATAAGTTACCTTATGAAATAGTACCCAATTTTTATTACTACAAATAACATTGTATGCTACATGCCCAGCTATGTTACATTTTAAATTAGAAATATCAATAATCTCTTTAGACAGCTGCCAAAGAAGAAGAGCTGAAAATTAAACAAATTAAAGAAGAAAAAGAAAACTGTTTGCGAGATTTCCAAAGAAAAGTCAAACAGCGTCTCAATTATGCTAATCGATTAAAGCGAGAAAAACAAATACAAGAAGCAGAAGAAGCAGTGAGTAACTGTATATATCAGTAGTGTTTATTTGTGATTTATACAAATATATGTAAATATATTTCTATTATACACATATAAGAACATATTAATTTATTTATACCTACATACAAAGCTGTTAACTAGAAAGCATAATTTGTTGTTTTTAGTTTGAAAGAGAAAGAAAAGTTGTTCAACAATCATTACTAACTGGAGATGCACCAAGACGTGACACATGTATCCAGAGACAAGACCTAGATAAAGCAATTATGAAGCGTCTTTTAGAAAAATATGGAGGTAATTTAAAAAATGTTAATATACAGCATGCTACAAAAAAAATAGTTAATCACTTGATGGTAGTAGAAAAAATAAAATGATTTTTCCAATGTGTAGTGAGTTCATAGAATTATGTGATGGATCTTCACTTTCACACTGTAGCTAAGATGCAATTCACTTGTAGTTTTTCTTGTGTATACCCTTAACAAAGATTACTCTTACTCCTTAAACAACCTAACACCTGTGTTATAAATTGTATCTCAGTTTATTGAAAGGGTATGAGAGTATGTCTTGTGTGAGTTGTCTCATCTTGAATGGTTTGTCTCATCTAGGGTGGGTTATCTTGTTTAGGGTGTATTGTCTTGTCTAGGGTGGTTTGTCTTGTTTAGGGTGTATTGTCTTGTCTAGGGTGGGTTGTCTCATCTAGGGTGGGTTGTCTCAACTAGGGTGGGTTGTCTGGGGTGGTTTGTCTTGTCTAGGGTGAGCACTTATATTTTTATTTTATCCACAGAAGATGTTTCAACTTGGGAAAGAGTTTCTAGTCAGCCATTGCAATCCCACACAGAAGAGGTGAGCCTTAAAACATTAAAAAAAAATGTGTTCTCTTGTAGAAAATACAAGCTGATACAAGTAAATGTAGTTTGGAGGTTTTTGGATTAACAAGTGTCATTTTAAGGCCTTGTATTTCAATTAAGTGCAGCTCTGTATGTAGTAAAAAGATAATTTTATCCATATTTTGTAAGTTGTTAGAATAAATATCAGTTTGCAAACGTAATAATTATAAGATTAACAATAATTGAAATATACGATGAAAGAATAAAGAGTATTTACTATTTATAGATGAACTTTTTGTTTTAATAGAGTCACCAGGTTACAGACAAAGCTCGTCAACAATTGATATCAAGAAAAATTGGACAGAAATCTAATGAAGATAGTCAGAAGCATAACCTTCGTAGTAAAGCAACTAGAGTTGTACAGGTCTGTTTAAACTATGTGTATGTTTTTGTGGGAAACTATGTAAATGAATGTCGCTTTTACATTGACATTATTTTCGTTTATCAGAATCCTGTGGTGAGAAGTGTAGTCAATGTAGATGGTGGGAATGTCAGAACCAGCCAGTCCAAAAGGAAGACCCAGAAGTTAGAGGAGGATAAAAAGTTAAACTCTGAGTTGGAGGTGGCAGGGAACAAAAAAAATGGTGAGTAATTTATTCTAGATATTTCTACACACACATTACTATTACTCACTATTCAATCAATTTGATATTAAAGTAATTAAAAAATAAATAGGTTAGCTCTAAATTGGATGTAAAGTTTTTATGCTGTAACAAGATTTAGAAGTTGTGCATGGCTTTTTAAAATTACAATTCCTAAAGGTCATTTATAATCTTCCACACCATTGAATTTCTATGGAAATCTTGTTATTCAATGTATAAAATAAAGTTAAATTGTACTAGAATTCATTATGCATTTACTAACCTAGGATTGCCTTTACATTATAGAGCCATAAAGAAAGTTAAATTAAACTAGAATTCAATTTTATGGTATTGTTCTTAACATCATAGATCAAGTACCCAACTCGAGAACAGAGGCTGAAGAATCAGATAACACAGATGTTAGCAGTGATTATGACAGTGATTATGACAGCGTTGATGAAGAAAGTACAAAGGTTCAGTTTGCTGATCCAAAGATTATAACAGTCAGGCAAAAGATTAAAAAAAGATCAGGTTTGTAAAGAAAATTTAATGCACATTCTAATATTTCAGATTCTATTTTTTGGGGAAGTACAACATTGAAAATTTTAGCATTATGCCAAATGACACCATCTCAAATATACAACTGATAACTAATCCTAACAATGATACTAAAGTTTTAGACTGCTAGAGCTTACAACACCTTGCCTAGAATTAAACTATCTGATTGGAAGTAACTGTTACATTACCAATTCTTCATGCTTTGTATGTTTATAAATGGAGCGTTGTTGGTTAGGTTAAGCGGGAGGAGCTTAATAAACAGTTAACTTTGAGTGATTGTATTTTAACTTTGTTATTGGATCCAAAAGCCTTCAAACAAAAATAAATATTTTTAACTTTGCTTTCAAGGATCCTCCAAAAGACCTTCTTCTTCAAGATTATATGCCATTTTATCACAAGATGCAGAAAATGGACTTTTGGCTCGGCAGAGGAAGCAACAAACTGCCGTCTCTAGAAGGATTTTCATGGACAGAGAGAGAGAAGCGGTGAGAGAAAACATTCGCAGACAGGAACACAGAAAAAAGATTATCAGGTCAGTTAGAAAGATTATCAGGGATAAGATAATCAGGTTGGTTAAAACTTCATTGTAGGAAAATATTTTCCCACAAAAAAATACCCAAACTTTCTGGATGTAAAAATTGGATTCAAATAACTCATTAACAATTTATTCTAAGTTAGTCTCTTTTCAACAAACTATTTTTCCTCACATTACAGCCTCAAGAAAGAGAAGGAGGAGGTCAGACAGGAGCTGGAAGAATTAGCCCATCAACAGTTTGAGCCAGATGACTTTGAGAAGGGGGAGTCAGCTGAAGAAGCCAAACTCAGGGAGGAAATAGAACAGCTGCAAATCCAAGAGATGGTGAACAGAAAGAAAGATGAAATAAGGAAAGCACGAGAAATGGAAAGGTAATATTTACTTTATGTCACCCTGTATGGAAGTTTGTTTTAAATTTGAAGTGTTGTGGCTGCCTTTTCAGTCAGTTTCCCAACCTTGTCTGCCTGCTTTGGGGTTTGAGTCAGTAAACAAAGCACTAAGCCTTACTCTACCTCCTTGTTCTTAGGGGTCATCCATTTATGACGTCCACATGGGGTGGGGGGGTGTCTGAAAAACATTGACTTTAGCGTACACGTATAGACTTTTATAAGGGAAATAAGTGGATTTTTGTGGGGGAGGGGGGGGGGGGGGGTCGAAAATCCACAAAATTTGTGGACGTCATAAATGGATGACCCCTTACCAAGGCGGTAGTGCTGACCAGTAATGAAGAATGTTTGGTGTTAAGCATTTGTAACACTCCTGTGCTTTGCCAACAGGTACCTGGATGCATTGCGCCATAGTTTGGTTGAGAAGGTGTCAAGACAGAGGCTACAGTTGCCAGCACTGTGCTCCTGTGGTGATACCATTTGGGACACACACCCTGAGACTTGCGCCAATAACTGTTTCTTCTATAAAAATCACAGAGGTAACATAATTTAATACTGGAAAACAGTTCAGTCTTTTAAGAAATTAAAATTTATTTAATCAGTCATTACCATAGCTATTGCACCATTTAAATATTTGCATCTTATTTAAAAAAAACACATTAAAATATATTAAAAAATCTCTTTACAGCATATGCTCGAGCACTGCAGTCACTTTTAACATCCTCTGAAGTCAAATAAAGATCCATTAAAAACTCTTGTAAACAGAATTTGTATTATTACACTAATATTTTAAACAAAGTTTTTAAACCTTGTATCATATAAACCTGTGTAGTCACAAGTACACTTTGGTGTATTGATATACTAGGGATGTTTCAGTTATTTCTTCATTAATAAAAAGAATGAACTGATTTACTAAGGGTTTTCCATAATTATTGTCATTCACAAATAGTTGTGACAGGGTGATGCAGCATTTAATGTGTATTTCTCATGGACAAATATGAATAAAAAATAGATGTAAATTTTTTTCAAATACAAAAGACCAGTGGTTCATAACCTTTTTGGAAGTACCAAACCCCAAAAGTTTCATACAGGCATTCACAGAACCCTTCTTAAAAGTTCCATGGTCTGCACTGACAAAGTCCAATTGTGAAGCATAGGAGTCTGGCGTGTGTCTTGTGACCTCTAACAAACCCTTGAGACTAACTCCCTGAACCCCATGAGTTCAATTGAGCACAAGTTAAGAACCACTGCAAATATAGCCATGAGACTCTAATATTACAATTTACACTATAAGGTCTTAATATACTGTTGTGACAGTATCCATGTCAGAATTTGCCTTATACAAGAATAATACATGCACAACTATTTTTACACCACAAATACAATGTTAAAGTACATTGTTCTTTTACATTATTTAAAAGAGCATGAGTAATGTGACTTAAGCCTGTCTAGACATTAGAAGCGCAATGTTCTTTAATTAAATAACATTAGTGATTAACAGGTCTCTTCTACCCCATTTCGCTATTTGTTTCTTTGTCTCATCAACAGCACTGTATTATATTATGTGGATATGATGTGTAGTTGTGATAAATCAGGGGTCCCCAAACTTTTCAGTCCGAGGGCAGCATTAACTATCAAATTTCAGTTCGGGGGCCAGTTTCTTCCAGGCATGTCTTTGATTTTTCTGGGCAAAGTTCCTCAGCCATCACCAACAAACGTTTTTCGGTGGACAAAAAGATCTCCGTGGGCCGGATGAGAGGACCTCGTGGGCCGCAGTTTGGAGACCCCTGTGATAAATTGATTGTAAATAGTGTGGTGTCTGTATATTGTAAACATTTAACACATGCATACTCTGTATTATCGTAAGTCTACTTTAAAAATTCTTATGATTTTAAAATTTTCATACTTGAAATAAAATATTTTGTACATTACAGGTTTTCAACAATTTATTGATAAATAATTTTTAGAAAGGTTGGAAAGCCATAAGTTTACTGGCTATTTTGTTTAATAACCACCAAGTAATCTAATAAAAATGAGAACCCACAAAAAAATTTCAAATAAGTTTTTTAATGCAGCAACAATTAGGCTGAAAAATTGTAACATGTTAAAAAATTGTTAGTTTCATATACAAATATCACATGACTTATTTTTTGGGAGGGTTTAGAGTTGCAGCTTTCTGTAGACATGCCTCTGCCATATTTATAGCCATCTTATGGTCAAACTTTTTAGCGTAATCAAGACCTTTTTTGCAAGTACTAGTGGCTGACATTACCTCCCCTTTCCTCAAATATATTGCACCCAAGTTACAAAACAGTGTAGCACCTTCCCCTAAATTTGAACTCTTAGAAATTTCAATCCCCTTTTTCAGAAGCTTTTCTGCTTCAGTGAGATTTTTAGTTACAATGTACAAAGTGGCAATATCATTTAAAACAACCAGATACTGGTTGGAATTAGTGCCCAAAACATTTTCAGCATACATCAATGATTTCTCAAACATAGGCAATGCTTCAGTGTATCTCTTTTCATACAACAAAAACCTGCCATAACTGCTCAATGCCATGCCAAGTAAAGAAGCTGTGTCTTTTTCTGTTTCAGTCAATTCCATTGTCGGTGTCTTTGCACCCTCTGGTGCCTTTTCAGTCAATTTCTCAACTTTATCTGCCAGCTTTGGGGTTTGAGTCTGTATACAAAACACAAAGCCTTCCTCTGCTTCCTCTTTCTTACCAATGATGGCGTAAATGCTGGCCAACTTCAGTGAGATCTCAACTATTGTGTTGTGGGTTACATCCATTCCCTTATTGAAAAGAAAGAACAAGTAAAAATAAATGAGTTATGAGTACACACAAAAACATTAACAGGCTACACTCAAACTGTTTTTTTTGTTACATTTGCCAAAATTGACACAGTGATCCACACAAAAAAACCCTTGATACCACACTATTAATTTCTTCCTGGATTTCAGCTATATAAACTACCAATTATTGCAAACTTTATTTAAAACTAGAATACCTACACACACCGAATACCAAGTGCTAAGATAGCATATGGGGAATTCTAGGCACCAAATCACACCCTGCAAGCATGCCGCCCTTCTAAAATTAAAATTTTCTCACATAAAACTGCCTAGGAGTATTCTCATCAACTTCCCAAAGTTTCATGGAAATAGGATGGAAGGTGTAGTAATGCATAAAAGACAAACCCACACTCAGATATACACACTTTCACATAAAAAAAAACAAAAAAAGTGATATAAACAGCAAGTAGTAAACAGCAAATCCACCTGTTGCAAACAGCCCTTCATTGTGTCCTTGTACAGAACCTCAGCTGTCTCAATGTCTCCTGTCTGCATGGCAATATCAGCCAAGCCATCATACATCAGAGTACGGGCCGTCACAAATTTGTCCTCAGTTATTTCTTTAGCTTCTGCAAGCTCACTAGCCAGCTAACGGGAGGTTTATAAAGATGTAATGAAAATTATGTTTAGTAATTTTATGATTTTTAATGGAATCTTCTTAGAAATGGAGCATAAGATTGCAGGTATAAAGCTATAAAATAATATAAACCTATCCCTAACCCAAGCGCAATTAGTAAAATAGCTTTAACCTGTACACTAACTTTAATATTACAATACTACTAATAGTAATAACCTTAATTATTTTTATAGTAGAGAATTATGTTAGACACTGGTAAGAAAAATACTCAGAGGAACTTGTATTGTAGTGTAATATTTCTAAGTTAATAGATGAAAATAATTTTTAACAATTAAAAATACAGAATGGACCTTTGAAATACTTACTTTAAGACACTCATGGTATAAATCATCAGCCAATTTGAGATCTCTCTTCATGTGTGCAAGTCGGGCATCTCTGTATTTCTGAGTCAGTGCATCAGTCTCCTGCTTTTTTCCAAAATTCAAACCAAGTAAACCAAGGGATATTCCATAAGTTGTTCCTGCCACTGTTAGTGTTAAACTATGTGTAGAATTTTTCTCCCTAAATAATGCAAAGAGTACAATAAGAACATAACCAAATAAACATCAAATGTGACAAACAAAATATAATTTAAATGATCACTTGTGAGGCCTGACCTGATTTCTTTCAATGTTGCATCCAATAGTTAAAATTATTTTTAAAAAAATCAACAACTTACAAGGGTCAGATTAACCTCATTATCTAATTAACCTGATCTTCTGTCACCTTTTTACATAGGTAACAAGGCTAATCTTTAATGAATATTGTCAAAAAAAACAAACAACCACAAAAAAAATAACAGAAACACAGATACACATACAAATTTGAATTCTAAAAAGTTAATTCTTGCTGTTTTAATTTTAACAAACCATTTTATTATTTTCATTGACTAGATACAACTTTTCCCCCAAGACATTTTTAATGTAAAAAGCCTATGATACAAGTTAAAAAAAAGGAAAAAAAACCTGACTTAATTACATAGAGGTACCAAGTGAAAATTATAAAGCCCATTAGTACCACTGTGGTAATTGGAGAAATGAGCAGCACTGCCTTGCTCTCAGAAGTGTCTTGAGTTAAGTGGCAAAGTGTAAACAACTATTTATTATACACACTGGTTTATTATATACTTCTGAATTTCTTAGTCTATATTCATTTTAATTTAGAAGCACTTGTACTAATTATTAATTTACTTTTACATTAAAGTGCTAAAAGGTTTTTATGATTTTATGGTATTTTGTAAATTTTAGAAGCTGAAACAGAATGTCCCTACATTTTAAATGATGAAACCTATTTGAACTAGAGATCTAGATAAAAGCCTAACAGAGCTTAATTCTTATAATCTGAGATAGATTAAGGTAATGCAATGACTTTGATATCACCATACCAGTTTATACCAGTTTCCGATAATAGAATCTTCTTTTAAAAGTGGTGCTAGGCTACTGGTAGTTAATTAAAATACATACATGGCTTGCTAATGTCAATGCTAACCCTCGCCCTACCATACGTCCAAACCTAATTTCTAACTATAAAACTAGCCGAGATTACACAACAATGTTACTAGATCTAACAACCGAACACACCTATTTTATTTTTGGAAGAGTCTATAGTCACACTATTGTGACTATATATATAGTATAGTATAGTGAGTATAGTGTAACTATACTATAGTAGTCTGGCGCGTTGCTTAGACCTCTGACCCTGAAACGTCACGCATCGTTTTCTGACGGTTTCTACGTTTATTTTAGGGGTCCCATCCACGACAAATGAAAAAACTGTTTATATCGCAAATTCTCATCATTATTTTAATGCAAATTGCTAATAAAATGGATAATATGCCTTAGAATGCCAGAAAAAATCGCAAGATTCGTGGTTGTAAATAATGTAAGGATTTCTAGTGGAGCACTCTCCGTAAAAACTGAACCGCCGCCAAAAACGACAGACTAACGGGGAAAACGGCTCGACTAACGGTACATTAATATATAATTGATATATTTATCATGTATATTTACAGTATTTTTGATTACTTTTTCCAAAATCTCACTCGAGGATGAGGTACCCACGCTGACATTTCTATCCGCTATTTTTAGTATCATGACGTCATTGTTACGCTAGTTACCTCACAGAAACAACTAGTTTTTGTTTTTTACGGAATGAACTGTTAAATCTAGTATTTTAATTATAATTCAATTGTAGCATGTGCGGAAAAAGTAAAATTATGGACATTATTATTGTATTAGTAATTTTATTAGTATATTGATTTTTTTCTTCACTGTGGGCCGACAGTTGCTGCATTCGTGACCGGTGGTTAACCTTGTCAACGCCGTGTGGTCTATTCGTTTATATAATCAGTGTTGCTCGTTCAGTCGGCTTTTTCAGAGCTAGGCCTAATTACGGGCGATTTTTAGACTTAATTGATCGGCCGTTAGCCTTTTTCATTGCTGCGTATTTTAAAAAATGCTCGTTCAGCGGCCTTTTTTTTTTGGCGCTAAATAATCTGTTTACGGGCATTTTAAGCGTTTATTTATTTATTTTTTTAAGCTAGACGTAGATCTAGTTAAAAAAATATTTTTTTATACAGCTGGCTGTCTAGCATGCCTGATATGTGAACTTTAAAAAAAATGACCGAACTTTAAAAAAAAATGACAAGAAGTATAATAGGGAAGTAGGTCTGTTTTTCAATTTGCTTGAAAAATGGGGGGGGGGGGGGGGGGAAGAGAGAGAGAGAAGTGAAGACACCGACCATCTCGTGTACGCGTGTTCATTCTATGACGTGTACTATAGGCCTGCTGAACTCACGGTGACCCCGCGACCGTGGTGGGATTTTTCATCCACAGGATAGTAAACGTAAGCAAGCAATCACGCGAGTGACGATGTTTGGAGATTTTATTTTAAAAAAATAATCACATACGTCATGTTTTCAAGATGAAAAAAAAAATGTAATGTAAAAAAAAAGACACTAATACGATGTATGAACCTCAGCTGCCACGCTGTTGACTCAATATAATGTGAATTGAGTGTAAAATGTATTTGTATTTATAAACTATCATAACTATTACTATCATATTATTTTAAGCATATTTATTATTTAAAATTAGAATTTGAAATAAAAATATTTATTATGGTCATTTGATTTATGCAGGTGTTCATTACTTCTTAAATTGGTATGAATATCATGTGGAGTAGAATTTAATAAATAATAAAATAACTAAATCTAGTTTGATTATCAACGAGTTGCTTTTTGTTATTTTCCGGTGAGTAAATTACCTAAGCTGACGCAATTACCATGGCGGGAATTAAAAGCTCGTGTACCCAAGTCCACGACGTCATGTTATGCCGGTCGAGGGCCAAGAACGCTGTTTTGTCATTCATTTTCCATTTTTGATTAATTTTCAAATTCTCTCTTTTCTCGTCAACCGAGTAAGCTAGATATTTAAATGTGGTGTCAAATGTTCTCTTAAGTGGTAAGGAAGTTAATGGTGTATTTGAAATAACAGAATATTTTATTTTAAAAAATCTATAATTCAACCTATACTATAGGCCTCGGTGTCTGATATTCATTCTGATAGTTAAGAAATTAATTTAAAAAATTGGTAATCTATCGTTTTGGGTACGTAAAATCGCCCGCGACTAGTAATGTGAAAAACAGGTGACTCCTTAAATTTTAATAATTATTTCACATTTTGAGGAGGATTTATGTTTTGAAAAATACAAAAATGTTTCCTTGTTTCATTTATGTACCTGTTTTTAAACAATTGAATTAAAACTTGTCAGTAATAAATGAACACCAGTGATGTTTCCAACAGATGCAACCATGCTCATTTACTATGGCAGCCATCTTGTTAAAGTTTTATTTTTATAGACTTAGAGCGCGAGATTCAGGCGGAAGTCACTCTATTTTACAAATGGCTGCTGTTTATAATTAATACTAATAGCCGCTCGCGATTTTACGTACCCAAAACGATAGATAGATTACCAAAAAATTAGGCCCCTTAAAACTTAATGTCTAAATGTTATTGTTTAGTTTAAACAAACTTAGAGGTGTGTGACTGTAAAGGATTTTAAAAATGCAGCTTGAATACATAATTATAATATATAGATCTACTCACCCCATGCGGATCATCTCAACGACAGAATCGTTGAGCCTCTCTCCGACTGTGTCGCTGAGAATAAAACCCTTTGGTGGTTTCTCAGTCAACACTGTCGTTGAAAATAAAACAATAATTAAACATGCTCTCCACAATTAGGAAAGCATAAACTGTAGGTGTTTTGAAGCTAATATTCCAGCCATTTTGTTTTGACGAGAGCTAGTCCAGTTCTAGACTAGATCTACTTGATCAACGATTTACACTGATGTAAAACCTACGTAAATCTACAAGATCAGGATTTACATTTAGATCTAGAAATCTACATTATTGACTAGAGAGAAAAAGTTAAAAGTATGCCTAGTGCGTCGAAAGTAAATGATAGAATCTAGATCTAGAAAATCTAGTAATTTTTCAGTAGCACTAGCTAGATCTAGAATCTAGACTTAGTCTAGAATCTAGATTGACTAGATAGAAAGATAATTATTTCTGTGGCATAGCTGTCCTTTAGCATTTAGGATCTAGATCTAGAAGTCTAGATCTACTCAATTTTAAATCTCTTCTATTTCAAATTGTTTGTAGATCTATATCTACAAGATTAGGCTTAGGTCTAAAAATATACTAAAGTAAAGTTATTAGTTAAAGCTACACAAGTACACATCATTCCTAAACTTAATGCCATTAATGGCTAAAATTCACTGAGCATTGTTGCACTTAAGACTTAAACGTAAGGCCTAAATAAATACTAGATATCTAAATAAAATTATTACGTTAGCTTAATTTTCGTGACAGCTTTTCTCTTCTTTTTTGCCATGCTTAATTTAAGTCACTTTCATGTGCTGGTAGCTTAAAATAAAACTTGTTTAGGAAGTTTATTTCTTTCTCCCTTTCATAATGCTGCAAATATGAGTAAGACGCTTATTATTATAATTAAATAGCTGCGATAAATAATCATTTGCATCTTTTTGGGGGTATTTCTTTTACATTTTACATGAACTGTGAAATACGGTATCTCAAATTTTGCGCGTAACTCAAAGCGAAATATTACTCGCTCAACTGCTCTTATTAAAAAATCTGGTATGTCGAGGCACTAGAATGTTGAGGTACCACAGGATCTACTATGTATTGAAAGAAAACATAAATTAATTATAGAATAATAGGCAAATATAGTAATAAAGTAGGCCTTATAGCTTTAGATTTTATTCAGCCTACTAATAAATGATTAAATAGGCCTAAAGTAGTACTAGATATTAGTTAAATCACTAGTATTGTGTAGGGTTATTTTTATTAAAAAAACAGATCACATCTTATACATTAAGGCGGGCTCAATAAAATAAAAATAATTTATTTAGGACCTAGGCCTATCTTTTGGAGATCTAAAATTCTAAATGAAAAATAAATTATTAATTAGACCAACAATAGGCATAGTATGCTAAATCT